ATGTCAAATACTGTGTAAATAATATTTAATTTTAAATTGAAAATGAGACAAAAATGAACATGAATTCGTTGGTATGTATTTGTCGTTGCCATCGTTGCCGCGGCGATGGGGTTGCTGCTGATGTTGGGTTCCAGAGCACGAACCGTGCAGCACGCACACAATACTACAAATACAATATTTTCCACATTCTCCACATTCATTTTCATTAGAGGAAAAATTCCTGACCAACTGCCTATGCGATATTGCCTTCATTCCATCTACAGAAGGTGGATTTTGGCCAACAGGAGAATCAGGTCTTTTGGAAAAGTGAAAGGCCGGCAGATCGCCCAAATGCAGTTGTTTGCGAGGCGGGCGTCCACAACGCCACTATTCCGTTGGTGCATAATTAAATCTGTTCATGGGGCAGAAATAATATGGCCCTGTCGCACCTAACGACATGCAGATGCAGGCACAAGCAGGCCAAGATGAGAGCCTCTTCACTGTTGGGTTGGGCATGCTCCGTGATGATGTTAACTTAGCGAGCAATTATGGAAGACATTGGCAGCTGTGGCAAGTTGTGGGACAGTTCCGTATCATCATTAATCGGCCTGATCGGAATAATTGTTTTCTTAAGTCATGATCTCTCAGAATTCTAGAAAGCTCTCTCCCTCAAATAGGTGTTTTGTTTTAGATAACTGACTGACCAAAAGCCGATGTGCCCCGGTTCCCAAAATCCATTCTTAAAGGTTCGAAAAAGTGAATTCAATTCATTGAAATATATTATTTTGAGCTCGAGGTTTCTCACGGATTAATGATTAATTAAGTTGATTGGTGAGCTTATTCGCGCTGTAATAAATTAAAGTTGAAAAAAGATAGCCCAAGACTATTATAAAATGATGAGCAAACAAAAACATGAGCTCTGTCTTTAAAAATATCAACCAGTTTTAAATGGAAACAGAAATATGTTCTAAAAATATTCTATATACTTACATAAGTTCACTCGAAATTTAGTTCATTTATGTGTAACGTTAAAAAAAATACGAGGAACATTTTACTATATTTTCATGTAATTCAAATATAATTCTTCAGAATTACTGCCTTGGCTTACTTTCGATTGCAACCAATCGGACATGGCTTAGCCATGATTAAGAATAAATGACAGGTGTAGTTCATATTTGAAAAGTTCCACAGACTACTATGCATGTATATATTTAAAGACGTTTCTTAAAACATGTCTGTGCTATTCATTCATCTGGCAGGATCATTTATTTAAAATTAAAAACATAAACGAAACGTGATATACGATTATATGTATACTTTGTACCTGATTACAAGTTGCGCCCATTTAACGAATTCAGCTTTAAATCATTGTTCAAATGAGTTATTGCCTCTACTAATTGCTGCTTTAATAAATTTAAATATACATGATTAAAATAGCATAAAATTCTTTAAATCAAACGCAAATGTTAATATGAGTGTGTGTCAGTGTGCGCATTTGTCTATCCAATGACAGAAATCGAATTAATAAAATATTTAAAAATGTTAATATTTTCCCATTCAGTTTGCAATTCATTATGTATGTACACATGCGTGTGTGCACATATTTATTTAACACAAATGCATGAGTGGCGAACAGACGGACTGCTGCAGAGCTCGATATTGGTAAAATGTAACAATTTAAGAGCAATTTTTGACATTGACATAAAGTGAGAAGAAATATCTGGGAGGTTTTTTTTTTAAAGGAATTTTGTCGGCATTGTTGTTGCTTGCTTTGTGTCTAATTGATGCTCTGGCTGAGCTTACAAGCTTACAAGCTTGCCTATGTAATCGCATTCGTTTTGCGCATTATGCGCTATTCAAAACACGTCTATGTATGTACATATACGTGTGTATGTACATATGTATGTGCATGTCTATATCGACCGAATGTAAGACAAAGGGCATTTTTGATATATGTATATGCATGTACATATGTATCTACAAATGTTTTTTTTTACCTTGATAATCATTGTCGCCTTCGTTGATTGCGTGGGTGGCACCTTGTAAAACCAACTTGGGCCTACTGTACATTGGGCATACAGTACAGGCATACATACATACCATTAAAACATACATAAGTACATATGTATGTATGTATGTATGTACATATGTACTTGTAACTGCATATGCATACATATTGGGCATGTACTATATACTATACTACACATGCATACATCATATATGTACGTATATATACATACTTGTATGTATGTACATGTATGTATATGAATAAGGTTCTTGGCCGTGGCATGGAGATAGAGAGACGACATGTGAGCAGTCTATGTGCGTAGGTATGTGTGTGTGTGTGTGTGTGCTCTCTTATATACATACGTTCCGGTTTGCTGCCCGTCCGCCAACCGAAACACAACACGGCAAAACGAGCCCTAACAATGGCCGGCATGGCGCGTTCCCAGCGCAAATAATTGACGAGACAATTGGCTGAGACAAACGAGGCATTCACCACCGTCGTCGTCTACGTTTCTACTGTTGCTGTTGTTGTTATTATTCTTGTTGTAGCATCATCGCAGCAGCAGCAGCAGCAGCACCAGAACGATAAGGGGAGGAGCTTCATATTATACAATGCCCCTTTGTTCGTAGTCGTCGTTGTTTTTGTTGCTGTTGTTTTTGCTGCGCTGACGTAGCTGTTGCTGTTGCCGTTGCCGTTGCTTTCGCCATCTATCGATTTTTGGACGAGCAGAAAAGGTTTTTGTTTTTGCTTTTGTTGCCGTTTTATATACATACATACATACATACAAATGCGCCCCAACATTACATACACACACAGAGGCATGCCCATGGAGAGAGAGAGACAATAACTCGTGCAACAATATGCCTCGTACGAACGTGCATATGTATGGATGTACGTTTGCAAGGTTGAGTGTGTATTGGATACCGAAACAATAGAAAGAAAGAGCCAGCCAACCAACGAGTGAACGAGTGAGCGGCACAGTAGAACAATTGAACGCACGCCCACATCACAACGAACACCGCTGCCGTCGTCGTCGCCGTCGCTGCTGCTGATTGCGATTCCTAGACCTCCTCGATGGGTGCGTTTGGACAGACAGCCAGACACACAGACTGACGTCGTAATGTGAAGAGAGCGCAACGCCGAGCAGTGGAGTGAAGTGGTGAGAGGAGGCGAAGCGAGGCGAGACGCAATCAAGCGGCGAGTGCGCTTCGAGAGCAAAGATATGGGAACGAGAATGCTGCGCGCTCTCTTTCGGCAATGCGCAATGTTCGAAATATTAGATTTTCAGTTTGCTCTTCAGTTGGCGGCACAAGTTGTTAACGGTGGCAGAGACTTGGATGCTGCTTAGCCTTCGGTCGCGTAGTCAGTACTGCGCGACGCTTTGATGCGAACAGTGAGTACAAAAGTTTAGTGCTCACTGTGAAATGCGTATGGGGAGCAGTGGGGCGACAACATCAACAACAACAACAGCAGTAACAGCAATAAAGATACAAACTCTTTGCCGGACAGACGACGACGGCGACGACGACGCAGACAAACGGGGACGTACCTTCAAAGCTGCTGACCCCCCGTTCGCCCGCTTCTTGGCAACTTGGCCATTTCCTTTGACTCTAGGACCTGGGTAGTGCTGTAAACGACGTTGAGGAGTTGGGAAACAAACGCAACAAACGCAAGACAAAAGGCGCCAAGCAGCGCACGCGACGGCAACAAGAACAACAACAAAGACGCCTCTCCAGCCAATCGCGGGCAGAGCTGCTCAGTGACTCGCGAAGGCGACAACACAATTGACAGTTTCGGTTTCTGTATTTCGGTCTCGGTTTCGGTTTTTGGCTTCGGACTTCACTCCGGTATCTGGGCGCTGGCGCACTCACAGTTTCTGGGATTCCGCAGTTTCGCATTTTCGTTGTGATGGCGCGACTGCTGACAATGCTGGAGGTGAGCGCGTGGTGAACTAATTGCCTTACCAAATGGAAGACGGTCCAATTAGCCAACTCTTCAAGTTGCCCAAAAGTGCTACTAATCCAGTGGATATGCCTATATACGAGTTTATGTGTACACACTACTCATACACATATGTATCAGTCACAGTGAATTCAAAAAGTTGCGAATAAAATTCAAACTCGAGAAATTGACCCATCCATAAAGAACCGAGAAAATCGGACATGTTTTTGTGCCAAATTCGTGAACACCAAGGCAGAGACTTATCTACACAAGTGTCTTAAAATCCGTTAAGCATCAATAATGAATTTACAACAACAAAATAAAAATCAAATTAAATAATAATACTAGTCCATTTCGCCTCTAATGAACTTGAATATCAAAGTGCATCTCAGTATTAATTTATTTGAAAATCTATCAATAAAATTGCAAGCAGTGCCGAGTGCATACGAATATACAATACATTATACAGATATACCGATTATTGTCGCATTGTCGGACCCAATGAATATTTTAAAAATATAAATATAAACTACACGCTTGGCAGTGAAATACTTTTTTTCTAAATAGTGCTTAATATTCGAATATTAGTGTTCCATTTACGGCGAGAAGTTCGGCCCATCTTGTAAGCAAGGATACCCTCCTATTGTGAGTCGAGCCTGTCCTATTAGGGACCAATTAATTATACAATTTCTATACTAAGTATTACTACGAACGTTTCTCAAATGGATCGTGAGGGACTTTAAGCTGGTCTTCTATATGATTGTTCCTGCTTACTTACTAATTAAATTTAAACTTATTTTTTTATTATTCAAATAAAAGCTTAAGACTTGAAACCATCAATCCGAAGTGTCTTTTTATTTTATTTCTTGATTTATTCTTATGTATGTATGTATGTTTTGAAAACTGGTCATTGGGTTCACTTTAATGGTTCGTTTTAAAAGAGAAATGGTTTGCCAAAATGGCAAAGCAATTAAATTATTGCACCAATAGGCTTTCTCGCCTGAGACCGCATATTATTTTCGTTGATCTATAACTGAAACTTGCCTTCGGAACTCTCCGATTCTCCTTGCAGACACAATTCGAGAATATGACAGACATCGAGTCGAATATTCAACAGCAGCAACATCTGCAGAACGTGCAACGGATGCAGCAGGAGAGTTGCCTGCAGGAGCTGCACCATCAGCTGAGCGCCCAGTTTAACGCCAGTCGCTTCCCTCAGTCCCATCATCAGCAGCAGCAGCAGCAGGCGGCGGCCGCGGCGGCGAGTACAGGCGGTCTGGTGCCATTCCTGCCCGCTTTTCTGCGCCCGCCGGCGCCCGCGCAGCAGCTGGCTACACTGCATCCGCACATGATGCCCGCCCACGTGCATCAGCAGCATCATCACGCCCACAAGCTGGCGGCCATGCAGCCGATGTGGCCAACGGCGGCGGTCGCGGCGGCGCACATTCAAGCGGCTCTGGCTGCGGCGGCCGTTGCCGCCAGCAACAACAACAAAATGCCGATTTCATCACCAGGCGCTGCGCCAGCCATCGCGGAGGCGGTGGTCGCCTCCCTGCCTGCCCTCGACATTGGGGAGGCGCGACCGGAGTCGCAATCGCCGAACCCTGGCAACAGCGACGCCATTAAGTATAGCCACAACACGCCCCCCGATTCCCCGCAGGCACGGGCCGCGGCTCCGGCACAGAATCTTAGCCCAGAGGAGAATTCGATCAATTATCCTTCTTCACCAGCCGACCACCAGCATTGCAGAGCCAATAGATCGGAGGTGCAGGACTCTGATATGGATGCCCCTCTCAATCTATCGAAGCCCAAGGGCTCACCCGAATCCTCGCCAAGCAGCGCCAGCATTCGTGAGCAGCGGGAGCGAGAAAGGGAACGGGAGCGGGAGCGGGAAAGGGAGCGTCTAACCCCTGTTGTCCCCAGCCCGCCGCTAAATTGGCAACAAATGGCCCAAGCAGCTCCAGTTGGCCAACATCAGTCGTCTCCCATATTTCCGGATGTCGAGGCCACTTACTTACAGTCCCGGGTAAGTCGTTTTTATTTTCTTATCATTAAAACCATTTATAGAGCAAATTTATAGTTCAGATTTAATTGAGAGATCCCTGCTAAGAATTCAAATATTCCCAAAAACTAAGTCTGAAGCACCTTAAACTTTTTTTACACTGAGAGCTTGCTAACGAGATTGCTGAGAATATGTCCGGCTATAGACATCCAAACCCTAAGCTAAATACTTAGGGATACATCTGACTAATTATTACCAAGTCCAGCAATTTAGAACAGATGAGGTTTTAGGAAGGTTTTTACTTCTAACCCCAGTTATTATCGTTATATAGTATGTTTACATTTTATTTTAAAAATAAATGAGAGATGTTCATTCCATTTGGATAGAAAATTACCATCAAATACTGTGGATTGCTTCTCTGGGATCTACTTTATCAGAACCGAAGCTAGTGTTATGGGTTTTTAAAATTTTTGTTTTGAATACATCTATAAATGGACCGTGTGGTGGTTAAATATTACTTTCTCATTTTATTTTTATTGCCTCATTTAATTTTTATTTTTTGCTTAAACAGCAAGCAACATTTAAAACGAGATTAAAAACTATCTCCGTGCGCACGGAAGCCTTATATCCTTCAAAAACTTTACTCCTCCATGCCCTACTCTTCTTCACAATTAGTATGTGTCTTAAGCATCTGGTCCAACATTCTTCGTTCTGGATATGGGGTTATGTTACAAAACTACAAATCAAAACAATTTAGCCTTCCAGTTTTAGTGAATGGACTATAGTATATTAATTAATATTTTAAAAAATAAGTACTAGTATATTTGAATACAGTTTTGATCATAAATCAAAGGGAACTCAACAAAGCTTCTGTTTATGAAACTCGGGAGTGGTTATCCCATTTACTGGTACATAAGTGATACATAAGTATAAATAGGAACATTCGTTGGAGATTTTTATTTTAATTTCAGAAGCCATTTTTTCATTATTTGTATAATCATTTCAAATATTGTTGAACAGCTCAGCATGATTCTAAAAAGAAAACAGCCTAAGACCAAAGATAATACTGAAACATTCTAAGCTCTAGATTTGTTCAAGAATAATGAAATGAATGGAACTACAAGTACATTTCAATAGGTCGAGTCGAGCTTGGTTCGGTTTGGACAAACTGTGTTAGTGAACCTTGAAGGAAGGAGTGTCTGCTTGAAAATAAATCCACGCATTCCTATTTAAACTCAGTTATGTGCGAGCATATAAAGTGTAATTAGAAACAACAGATTATGTCTACATACACATTTGCAATCCTAGGAGCCACAGCTGATATAAAACAATTTTTCTAAACCTTCCTTCGAGTGATTCCCTCCGATCGAATAGATGTTTGGAAAATGCTGAAAACTTGCTTGATGGGCCGCATTCTTGAAATTGATAAAACAAGAAAGGAATAGTAGAGTCTTACTGGCTCAACTCTTAAATACCTTGTACACACCCCCAAAAAAAATAAGAAAAAATTTTGAATTAAAAAAAAATTAATTAATTAAATAAAAATTATTCAAAACATACATACATAAGTGGAAAGATATGTGTGAAGTACAGAATTATGTCAACAACAGCTGCAGAGCTTGGGCAGAGATTATATTTATGGCTATAACTTCCTTTCTATCAATCATTATGAAACTCAATTTACGTACACATAATCACTAACTGGATGTGACTACCGAATTTTATATAAAAATTCCAAGAATTAGGTGAGTTAGAGAAAATCGTGAATAGAGGGGGAGTGGAGGAGTGCATTGGAAAAAATGAACACACTTGCCCTTTCTCGGGCTTAGGAGAATCTACATACCAAGTTTGGTTATTCTAGCTCTTATACTTTCTGAGATCTTTGCGTTCATACAGACAGATGGACAGACAGACGGACAGACGAACATGGCTATATCGACTCATCTGGTCACCCTGATCAAGCATATGTGCACTTTCTATGTGTTACATGTACACTCTCGCACAAAACTAGTATACCCTCTTACCCTTTGGGTGCAGGGTATAAAAAAGAATTCTAAATAATTATAAGACTAATTGAGCGTAGATTCAGGATTAATCTGTGGGGAAGACCCATCAACTTTTTTGTAGGCAAGCTGCAATTGAAGCTTCTATTATTATCTATTATCTGTTTTGTTTCCTATTTCGCTGGCAACCAATTCTATGGCTATACCAGTCTGGAGTTACATTCGAGAATATTTGGATCAGTTCCTTTGTTTTCATGCATTTATGTTGATGCCAAGATTCATGTTTATATATTTCTTTTGATTTCTTTGCAGGGTCGACTGTGGCACGCGACAGGTGGCGGCGATCCCAGTCCCACATTGTCGGCGACGGGCGTTGGAGGTGGGATTGGAGGGGCCAGTGCCAGGGCAGCTCGCATGAGTCGCGACTCGATAAACAGCTGTGGCACGAGCTCGGAACGATCGGCTGTGCTGGATCCGGAGTGTCATGCTCAGCCACAGCTTGGAACAGCGCCACCGACCCAGCCCCAACGACACGGCCATGGTCATGGCCATGGGCACAGCAAGCCGCACATCAAGCGGCCCATGAATGCATTCATGGTGTGGGCCAAGGACGAGCGTCGCAAAATATTGAAGGCCTGCCCCGACATGCACAACTCGAATATATCGAAGATACTGGGCGCCCGCTGGAAGGCCATGTCGAATGCCGACAAGCAGCCCTACTACGAGGAGCAGTCGCGTCTTTCCAAACTCCACATGGAACAGCATCCGGACTATCGCTATCGCCCGCGCCCCAAACGTACTTGCATTGTGGACGGCAAGAAGATGCGCATATCCGAGTACAAAATCCTGATGCGCAATCGGCGGGCCGAGATGCGGCAGCTGTGGTGTCGGGGCAGCGGTCCCCCCAATGCCTCCGGCGATGCCTGTGCCGGAGATGGCAGCGTCCAGGCAGCGGCAGCCGCCGCTGCGGCCGCCTACCATTTGCAGGATATGACACAGGCGGCAGTAGCGGCGGCTGCGGCGGCAGCGGGCGTGCATGGAGACGAATGCGGCGTACTGCTCGATGGCGGCACGCCCACGCATAATGGTCCGGGGGCGAGCAGCGGGTATTATTATCCTCCGGAGAGCCTGTCGCCGTCGGGATTCTCCTCCGAGGAAATGGAGATGAACTCGCTGCGCGGCGATGACGATTGAGGTGGGGGTGGGGGAGCGTTGCAGTCGCCCGCCCATAGACAAGTTATAGCAGCAGCAGCAACAACAACAACAGCAACAACAACAAAAGCAAAAGCAAAACAACAGCAACAACAATAATAAGAGAAACAAAAAAATCAGTGCCATAGCGATCGCGTTTGTTGCATAGAAGTGGTGGTCATCCAACCAACTCAGAGGCTCAACAGGATGTACGCACGCACGACGAACGTCGAAGGACGGATGGACCCACAAGGGACGGGGGCAGTGGCGGATGCAGAGACAGAGATAGAGACAGAGACAGAGGCTGAGCCAGGCTAGCCAGCAGCAGGAGCAGCAGCAGCAGCAGCAGGAGCAGGAGTGCGTCGCCTGAGAGTTGTCCAATCATCATCATAATCATCATCACCATCATTCTCCAATCCGTGGGCGGCGACAGCGGCGGTGTAAATACGACAACTTAGGCTAGAATCCGTGTATAGTCCCTTAAGTTTCAGTTGAAGTGCCATTACTTACGTTTAATTTTCCCCAAAAACAAAAGAAAGAAAGAAAACAAAACAAAAACTATAAGAAAAAGCAAAAATAGTCGCTGGGACTCGTTCGCTGGATGCAATAAGATGATTTTTTTTTTTTTTTTGCAAGCAGGGAATCAAACCGAAACGAAACTAAATCTTACCGAATCGGACCCAACAACAATAGTAGTACGAGCAAGAACAACTTTTGAGCTATGTTTAGAGAATTGGGAGATGGTTCGTGTCGGTTTCAGTTTCGGTTCGACTCCCTGATCTTAAGACATAACCATAACCACCAAGCGTACGAGCAATCCCTCCCCCCTTCCAGTGCTTATACAAGATATCAGTGACCAGATAAATAGGAACAGGAAGTGACAGAAACGCTCGGTTCGGATCCATTGCGATCGTTGCAATTTTTGTGCCATTCACGCACCAATGCCATAGCCATAGCGAAATAAATATTTAGATAGTTAGTAACTTTGAGGGTAGAGCGAGCCTAGTTGAGGGTCGAGGGAAGAGCAAAGAGCAAAGAGCTGAGAGAGCCAAGATGGAAGATGGAACATGGAGACGGTGAGAAGGGAGACCCCAGTCGGTGGGATGGGTGTCCTGTGTGTGTGTGTCTGTGTGTGTTTGCGTGTGAGTTGGGCGGGCCGTGAGAGGCGCGGAAGGGTCACAGAAATATGCGATAGATAGTTGTTAGAGGGGTTCGAGATTCGCTAAATTGACTTGCGATAAACGCCATATAAATATATAAATAATATATAAATATTTTTTTTGTCAAATTTTTTTTATATACTTATAAGCATACATAAGATATGTAAACTAGTTTTAAATGCAGCGCCCATAAGCCCTGGAGTTTAATTACCGAGCGGCTGCTGCTAATAATGATGCATAGAAGGATGGATTCTGGCTCCGTTTCTTCTTTCGCAATCACATCAACCCCAAGTCCCAGCCCCAGTCCCAGCTCCACTCCCCTATCCCCTGTCCCAAGTGGCCATTAAGGGTTCGAGCAAACGCCTCCCAAAATCTCATGGTTGTTTACCCTCCCTCCCTCCCTCCAATAATAGACCACCAATTCCCCCTCCCCATTCCGCCTTCCACAGTCAAAAGCAACAACATACTCTAAGTTTAAGGAATAGTCAAATTAAAGGACAACAACAAAACAAAACGAAAACAAAAATAAGAAGAACAAACAATTATGTAACTTGTGTAAGAAGAAGAGACGACAACTCTGTAGAATTCAGGAAGACGAGTCTACACACACCATGCATGCATACACACACACATATATACATAAATACATATGTGTGTATGCATGTTAAATACCAACACACACACATACATACTTACGAGTATATAGTGGGGTGGGGGCTTTAGAATTGAACCTTCAATTTGCAGACAAGTGTGGCGTTCAAGTGATGATGATCTGCTTACCTGGGTAGGTAGGTAGGGTTACGTAAACAATATTCGGACTTGTATAAAAGCATACACATGTACATATGTACGCACGCACGCACACACACACAGACACATACACACATACATACTTAAATAATTACAAACAACATAGAGTGCAATAATATTTTACAGCTCAGTAGTTGAATCCCTTCTCTCCTGAGTCCATTTGTGTCTGTGTCTGTGTGCGTGTGTCGGTGTTGGTGTGTGCGCCTGTGTGTGTGTGTGTGTGTGTGTGTGTGTAGAACCTAATTGGATTTTGGGGTGGGTTGTTGGAGAAACGGTTGATGTTGGAGAGAGCATTAGAGATAAATGCCGAGTGGGACGAGGAGTTTGGAGAATGAATAGAGGGGGCTCGGATATAGGTAACATACATAGTTGGAAATGACAAGCAATTACTCCACATACATAAATATATAGATATATATATACATATATCAAGATATATAGCACATATACAGACAAAACATTACATTGTACACAGTATCTAGCATACATTTGTATATGTAAATGGAGAAGAGCATTAAGCAAAAACAATTAAACGAGTTTATTAAACCGAAAAAAAAAAAACAAAAAACAAACAATACGTACCATGCATCATATTTACTTATTTATGTATATATGAATGCTTTACATACACAATGGCGTTACTTACTGTTGCAAACAATAGTCCTGAGAGATGGTTATTGTTGTTTTCGCTTCAATGAAGGTAATTATGTTTCTTTAATAGCCTTTTCGCATTAACAACTTTAGAAACGTCATACATTTGATGCCAGAAGGGATTCGCTTATATATGTATATATATATATTAGGGGTCCGCCTATCGATCGATCTCGCCGAAAACAACATCCAGAGTACCAATAATGGCGACCACATCGGCCAACATGTGCTGTTTGCCAATTTTCTCGAGAGCAGCCAAGTGCGCAAAGCCAGGCGCTTTAATCTTGCAGCGGTAGGGACGACTGGAACCGTCCGACACCAAATAGACGCCAAATTCACCCTTGGGCGCCTCAATGGCCGTGTAGGTAGCACCCGGCGGCACTTGGAAGCCCTGGGTGAACAACTTGAAGTGATGAATGAGCGCCTCCATCGATGTCTTCATCTCGGCGCGGGATGGCGTCGACACCTTGTTGTCATCGGTTTTAATGTCACCGGCGGGCATTTGGTTCAAGCATTGATCAATAATGCGCAGCGATTGACGCATCTCCTCCACACGGCACAAATATCGGTCGTAGCAATCGCCCTTGGTGCCGATAGGCACATCAAACTCAACTCGGTCGTAGGCATCGTAGGGCTGTTGCTTGCGCAAATCCCATTTGATACCAGAGCCGCGTAGCATGACACCGCTGAAGCCATAATTCAATGCCTCCTCGGCAGTAACAATGCCGATATCCTCTGTACGCTGCACCCAGATGCGATTTGTGGTCAGCACATCCTCCACCTCGTCCAGACGCTCAGCAAACTTGGACGAAAACTCATATATGTCGTCCATCAGGCCTATCGGCATATCCAACGACACACCGCCGGGTCTAATATAGGCGGCATGCATACGTGCGCCAGACACGCGCTCGTAGAACTCCATCATCTTCTCGCGCTCCTCGAACAGCCAGAAGAAGGGCGTGAGTGCGCCAATATCGAGCGCATGGGTGCCCACAGCCATGATGTGGTTAAGAATGCGCGTGATCTCCGCAAAAAGTGCTGCAAGCGGGCAAGCCTTAGAGTTCCATTTCACATTTTATGAACCCCAAACACTTACTTCTTATGTACTTAGCGCGCAGTGGCACATCGATGTTTAGCAGCTTCTCCACAGCCAGGGAGTAGCACTGCTCATTGCACATCATGGACACATAGTCGAGGCGATCAAAATAGGGCAACGCCTGCGTATAGGTCTTGTACTCGATGAGCTTCTCAGTACCGCGATGCAGCAAGCCGATGTGCGGATCGGCGCGCATCACCGTCTCGCCGTCCAGTTCCAACACCAGGCGAAGCACGCCGTGAGCGGCGGGATGTTGCGGTCCAAAGTTGAGCGTCAGATTGCGAACCGATTTCTCCACGGGCACGACTTTGCCTAATTGAAGTTATTGAAAGTAAAAACAAAGTAGGGTTTGCAATGTACCGAGTTAATTGTTATTGTAAATTAAAGCTCACTGTTCCATGGTGGCACTTTCCACAAAGAAGTGACTTCATCGGGATACATTACAGCGCCGCTGAACTGCTTCATGAATTCGGGATCGGGATACCATTTTGCAGCACCACGCTTCTGCTGATGGGTGCTGAAATAAGATATAGTATATACACCAAGTAAGCATACCATTCATAAGCTAAGTTGCAACAATAAATGCGCCTGGGTGAGCGAATTATGTAAGCGAAGTAAAGTGGCCCGAGAATGCAAATTACCTCAGAACGCTGGTGCCAGCTGCCGCTGCCGACTGTGCCTTGAAAATGTGCACTCCGGCGCCCACCGAGCGCTTCACAATATTGGTGAACGCCATTTACTTCCTCGTGAATTAAGTTTGGACTGCAGGCACAATTTCTGAAAGGTTTTTGATGTTGATTGGGGCAGTCAGTGCCAACTCAGCTGAAATAGCAGCGGTTGTAGTTGAGCTGGCAACGCCAATACGTGTTGTAGGGTGGTCATATGCATTAAATGAGTGTGCCAGCTTTGAGTGCTGTTGAGACTTATCGAATAGTAGAAGTTCCAATCTACAGCCAACAAATATCGATAACAACATCGATGACTTTTTACATCCCTGCATTTTACGTATACAATTAAACAATATCAATATCAAATATTTTCGGCAAAGTAAATTAATTAATTAATTAATTAATCAAGTATTGATCACTAACTAATTGTGCCTGTGTCTGCATTATTCATACTCACACTTTACCAATTGTGCCATGTTTGTGCGTGTGTGTATATGTGTATGTATGAGTCTATGTATACAGAAAATAGTCGAACTGAATGTTTGTGTACATATACATACACACACATGAGTTCGAGTCTAAATCTGTTTGATACAATTGAAAAGCAATAGCAATATCAATAGTGTGTGCACAAGTGTATTAAAACAGTAAATAAACTAACCTAAAGCCCCAGCAAAAAACGCAGAATTGGCCGCATTGCTTTAAAATCGTCGCTCGCGTCGGGATGCTCGCTAATAGCCTTTGCTTTTTCGCTTTTCAGAGAGAGTTCATCACGTTCACGCTAAATTCCGATTCCAACTTCAGACGTATGCACGGATGTTGTTCGTGTGTGTGTGTGTGAAGCAGAAGAAGAAGCTATTGTTTAAACAAAACTCACTACCAGCTTTTGCGGCGATACACTCGCCTCAATTATAATAGTCTGTTGTAGTTTTACAAAGTCAAAGCCAAAGCCCTGATTCTGATCCTGAACACAACTGCAATTCCCTACAATTCCATGTGGTCGTCTGTGCACGCATAACTTCGGGGCTGTCGCTGTAGGTGTAGGTGAGCCCAGAATGCTGTCGACCACAACGCCAGGCACAGTCAGCGGCACCACCGGCAGCCAGCAGCAAAACGCTGATGTGGGCGCAACCATGTCAAGCAATGCGGCAGCGGCCCTTGGCTCTTCACCCACGGGCAGCAGCAGTGGTCTCAAAACGGTAAAGGGCGAGCCCTACTCGACCCTCTCGCCAGGTAAGTCTAAATCACAAATTGTTTGCTGCAATTATTCAATTTGTGATGCAATGTCGATTTGAAATGTGCAGAAAACGCAAGCAATCAAACAATGTCGGACGATGCAAGCGCTGGCACCAGCGTTGGTGGCGGCAGCGGCAATAAAAACGGCGCCAGTCACAACAATGGCGGAAGTGGAAGTGGCAGCGGTAGCAACAATGCCAGCAATGCCAGCGGTGCCTCTGCTGAAGGTGTTCCGTCCGCCACGGGCAGCACACCCAACATGCTGCGACAAAACTCCAGCGGGAGCATCAATTCCTGCCTCGCTGGCTCACCGAACAACACAAGCGATCACTCCAATAGCAGCAATGTCTCGGCCAGCATTGCTCAAATTGTCGAGGGAGGAGGTACGTCCAGCTGTGACTTGCTGCAGGATGATAAGAAAAAGAAAATCAACATAAAAGAGGAGGATGGTGGTGAGCATTGTAAAATGAAGCAATTCAATACATTCTCTGAAATCGGTATCCTTCATCCTGTTGCAGGCAAATCGCAGCCGGGTATCTCAACAGACAAAAGTAACAGCAGCAGCAGCAGTAGCGGCGGTAACGGTGGTAGTGGAAGTGGTGCCGGGGGCAATGGTGGTAGCAATGTGAAAGGCGCAGTTGCCGGCACGCTAGCCAATGTGACCGTCAAGGAAGAGCCCACAGACATACTTGGCAGCTTCGTGAATTTAAAGAAAGAGGAAAATCTTTCACCAAACATGTCACCGGTGGGCTTTGGATCTATTGGTGGCCCACCAGGCAGTGTCCAGGATCGATCCGTTACCCCTGGTAAGTGAAGCAAATCGAAACAGGCCTCCTAACGATGCTCTATAAAATTATATTTCCATTAATTCTAGTCAAAATGGAGCTGAATCCTAACAATGGCGGTGGTGGCGGCAGTGGGACACACAACAATAATAACAACAACAATACTGAAAAGACATCATCCGCCTTGGATGATATTGCCGGCTGCAATCCTTTGAGCGCCGATAACATCAACGAATCGTCAAACAGTGGACCAGGCAGTGGAACGGGGGGAGCTGGTGGTGGACCTGGTAGCACTGTCAGCGGCGGTCCAGCTGGTAGTGGTGGTGGCGGCGGCGGAGTCGGCCCAGGAGGTATTGGCATTGGGGGTCTTAATGTGCCACCAGTTGGCGGAAATTTCATTGGCGGCAATGCCGGTGGTCCTTTGGGCAACTGCCTGGATTATATGCAACAGCAAAATCATATCTTCGTGTTCTCCACGCAATTGGCCAACAAGGGCGCCGAGTCTGTACTAAGCGGCCAGTTTCAGACCATTATTGCCTATCATTGCACTCAGCCGGCAACAAAAAGTTTTCTTGAAGATTTCTTTATGAAGAATCCAATGAAAATGAACAAACTGCAGCGACAGAACTCGCTTGGTATTTGCAATATGCCCGGAAGTGGCGGTCAGCCTTGGATGCCGGGAGGTGGCGGCGCGGGAGGAGGAGGACCCAGTGTGGTATCAAAAATGTTGCAACAGCAGCCGCAGCAGCAAAAACAAGGTGGACCCAAGGCTCACTTCAACCAAGCCGAAAATAGTAACAAGGCAACGGGATTGCGAGGCGCCATGCCCGGCAATTTCGGCGGCGACAATTCTGATTCTTTGGTCAATGAGAGCGAACTTATGTGTTGGGAGACTGGCAGTCGAAACAATATGGAGGGGAACCCAACTGAATCGCAGGCCTTGAAGCTGCTGGAGGGCGGTGTCGACAGCATTGTAGGCGGCCTGGGCAAGTGCGGCGATCTGAGTAATGAGAGCAACATCATATCTCTCCAGGGCGTCAAGGTGCCCGATGAGAATCTAACACCACAACAGCGGCAGCATCGAGAGGAGCAATTGGCGAAAATCAAAAAGATGAATCAGTTTCTGTTTCCGGAGAACGACAGTGGCGGTCAAATGCCCGGTGCTGGCAATCAGCTCGGCAAATTGACTAACGAGCAGGCTATGGCCGGTAATTTGCCACCAAACATGATCATGAGCATGGGAGGCGGAGGTCCCGGCGGACCTGGACCCACAATGGTTAACCCCGCCTTGAATCCGCAAATGCGTCAGATGCAGTCGAATCTATTGGCTCAGAATTCACAGAAGTCTGAACATGTGCCGGCAACGTTGGGCGAAGATGTCCTCCTGCCGGGCGATGTCATGTCCGATATGGGACCCGGTATGCCCTGCAATAGTGGCCCTAAATCGGGATGCGGCGGTGGTCCTGTCAATGCTCCCGGCGGCCTGCAGTGCGGACCTGGCGGCGTAATGAACGTTAATGTCGCCAACATCGTCGGCAACAACATTCAGTGTCCCGGTGGCGGTGGACCTGGCGGCAATCTAATGACGAACTCGCCAGAAATCATGGGCGCCTTTGGTAGCACAAATTGTGGCGTCATTGGTGGTGGTGGTCCCGGTGGCGATATGAACAAAAACGTGCCCAATCCGGACGGTATGCCGCAGGTGGGCATGGCTCAAATGGAATGGTCTAAGATCCAGCATCAATTCTTCGAGGAACGCTTAAAAGGCAACAAGCCGGGTGGCTGTCGACCCTCAGGAATGGCTGGTCCGGGCTCTGGCGGGGCTGTACCACCACCGCCAATGGGCGGAGGTCCTGCAAATCAGCAACAGCAATCCTTGCGCAATAATGTACAGGGACCACCGCCACCCTACCATCCCACCCAGCGTTCGGCATCAGTGCCGATTGCTACCCAATCGCCGAACCCCTCCAGTCCCAACAATTTATCGCTGCCATCACCACGCACCACCGGCGGCGCTCTGGGCATACCATCGAACTCACCCAGCATGGAGGCCACAGCAACGAACACATCTGCGGCCGGCAACACAGCGACAAGCGCGGCAGGCGCTATGAATGCTCTAGCGGCATCCAAAAACTGTTTCCAATCTGATGCCGGCTCGCCCTCCAATCGACAGCGTAGCGGCGGCGGCGCTGGTCCTGGCGCAGGAAACACGGGGAATGTCATGAATCACCTAAACAGCAATCCCAGCACACCACTTTCGCATTTGTCGCCCAAGGAATTGGACTCCTTCAGTCAGGCTTCGAGTGCTGGTAAGTTTTTAATTTCCAATGAAATTGTTGAATTGAATACCATATTCGATAACCGCGTTCGGAATTCGACCGAATTTTGCGGAAACACAATTGGTTGCCAATCCCGAAAATCAATTGAGATGAATAAGAAAGGGTTTCCAATTTCAATTCCACACAATAGCATCGTATATTACAAACATCACTTTAGAAGGCATTTGTATTGAAAGTAAACAACAATTTGAATATAAATTACGATAAAATGTGAATGTGTGGAATACGAACGCAATATGTTTTTGTTTATTATTTCTAACTAAAATGTATCAACATTTGTTTAAACATTTTCGAGAACTAATTATTTAATTTAAAGCTCAATTTAGAATAACAACTAATTTTTGAACGGTTTGAAAATTAATTCCAAGTGTCCCTTAAATAGTACTTAAATTGTTTAGTCGGAGACGTACATTCTATATGCAATATCAGACGACATAAGACTATGTATGTTTAAGTATTTAATTTTACTATTTTATTTTATTTACCAGGTGATATGAAGGGCACGCGACCGAGTCCACAGCGACCACGTTCACCGGGCAATACAGGAAGTCATCTCATTGAGCCCAACAATATGGAGCCCCGTTTTCCGGCCTCCAGTCCCGGCCTAAACTTCAATACCCACATGCAAAGCAATACAAACACTGCCATGAATGCCTATAAGGGACCCGGCTCTAACAATGCGCTGGAGGTGAGTCCGATATAGCCCATCATCCGCTTCAGCGTAATTAATGTTAATTTGTGATTTCTTTTAGCGTCAGAATTCAGGTCCCGGCGGACCCGTACAATTCGCTCGTCGCTCCGACAACATGCCATTGAATCCGAACAGCAGCAATCGCCCGCCTCAGAATAAAATGGCACAGAACTTCGATCCGATATCGTCGCTGGCGCAAATGTCGCAGCAGTTGACGAGCTGTGTGTCTGGCGTGGGAAGTCCCGCCGGCGGGATGAACATGATGGGTCCTGGGGACATGAACATTGGCCAGGGCGTTGAGCATGGCATGATGGCGGGTATTGACGGTGGCAGCATGGAGCACATGAATCATGGAGGAGTGGGTGCTGGCTCCAACAGCTGTCATCCGATAAATCCACTCATGAACTCCATGGGACAACGAATGCTCAACCCCAAGATGTGTGGTGCTGGCGGTGGCTTTAATGCGGCTGCCAATGGGGTTATACGCGACGGACCCGGTGGTCCCAATCCCAATTTTCATGGCATTATGCCGCCAGCACGTATGATGAGTCGCATGCCCGTCAACTTTGGGCCCAATTTCAATCCAAACATCCAGGTGAAGGCGAGCACACCAAACACCATACAATACATGCCAGTGCGGCCCCAGAATAACAACAATGGCAGCAATGTTCGTATGCCACCCAGTCTGGAGTTCTTGCAGCGCTACGCCAATCCACAAATGGCCGGCGGCGGTGGTCCACCTATGGGCAATGATCTGGGTATGATGGTCGGCGTCGGACCCATCAACATGAACTCGCCCAGTGAGCAGCAGCTGAAGATGGCCAACCAACCGGGCGGCATGCCAAACAATGCGGGCGGCAATGGCAATGGGATGAACTTCTTTCAGAACTGCAATCAACTGCCTGGCCTGGACGATGAAGGCGGTCTGATGCCCGGCCATGATGGCTTGGGGATCGGACAGCCGCCCATGATACGTGGCATGCGTCCGCATGGTATGCGCGGGTTGGGGGCGCGCCTTCAGGCGCCTGGAGGCAACATTGTTAATCGACAGCAGCCCCAGTTTCCGGGCACGCCAGATGGCCTAGACTGCAACGATCCCACTGCCATGTTCAACAATGCAGGCGGACCTTGCAATAGTGTCGGTCCCATGTTTCCCGCGTCACAACAACAGCAGCAACAGCAAGCGCAACAGAAGCCGCAACACCTGAAGGGCATGCCCGCGGGCATGTGTCAGAATGCGCCCGGCGGAGGTGGCGTTGGCGGCAATGTTGTTCTTCCAGGCAATAGTCCAGCAACTGGCGGCCCCGTCATGCTGCCCGGCGACATGGGCCAGTCAGTTATGGGACCGAATAACAACAATGTCATGGCTGGTGTGGGCAACAGTGGTCCGCCAGGCGGCGCTGCCGTTGGCCCTGGCGGCGGCGGCGGTGGTGGAGGAGGAGGTGTCGGCGGAGGCGTGGGGGTTGGCAACAATGCCAATCCGAACTATAAGCCCTTTGTTGGACCCTCATCCAACGACCTGAAGTATGCTCAACAATACCACAGCTTCCAGCAGCAGCTTTATGCGACAAACACCAGGAGCCAGCAGCAACAGCAGGGCGCTGGAAATATGAACGCCATGCCGCCCAACCTATCGCCCAATCCAGCTTTCTTCGTTAACAAATAAGCATCGCCTTGGCCTGCACAAAGTAGCGCAATAGATCAGATCAACGCATCGAAAACATCTAGCATTAGGGCTGTCTCTCCGAATAAGATTTGTAATTAGCTTATTAGATGTGTTTCCTTTCCTTTATTGTTCTACTATATATATATATATACTTCTATATTTTTTTTTGTTTGTTTGTTTTTCACTGAAGGACACATGCTATTCCAATATATATCACGTCATCACTCCCGATAGATAATCAGATGGATCTTAAAATACAATTTATTACGCAATGGCAACTTGACATAGAGAACGAAAATCGAAAGCTGACTGCCGATCACGGGCTATGTATAAATAATTGATATCCCCATAAGTTTTATAGTTGCAGCTCTATATCCTGTAATCTGTACGCTGTACTCTGTATTAAATGCAATTAAGCAAGTGTATGTAAAATAATACCTACTTATATACTATTCTATTCAATGTTAAGGCGAATGTACACGAATGTAAATTCTTCCATTAAACAAGTTGAATGTAAAAACTCCGACAGCATTTTTCTTCAGTTCCCTCAACAAGAAAACACATAAATAATGGCAGTTGCTATTTATGGCAAATGAGCGAGATCGCATAATAGAGCAGCATATCAGCCATCCTTCTCTATCGCCCCGTCTCGCTCTCTCGCAAATTTATTGTTGTTTTGGTTCTGTAACAGAGGGACGCCGCTCAAGGCGTTTTCAATTCTACAGCCTCGGCTATAATTAGCCCATAATTGTAGAATAGTAATAGAAGTAGTGATCTATTTGCTAATCAGCACTAATCCCACTGTTCTCGATCCATAATATACTGTGTATATGTAACGCGATACTCCAGAAAACGCCAAAATACGTTAATTAGAAATAAAATGATATCGTAAAGGCATTTTTTAATCAGCGCGTTAGTTTCTTTTCATAAATATTTCTCATGCACAGGAGAAAGTAGTCTATGGGTCTATCCGCCTGTTTGAGTGTAGGGGCTTGAGTTGGTTCGCAATTTGGGATCGGGGAGTGATTTTAAAAAGCTATTATTGAAATTTGTATATACAGATATGTTTAAACTATAGTTTACCTTAGATTTAGTTTAATCTAAAAAATAAATCAACAATTTTAAAATATCGGAGATAAGTCAGGCTGAATAAAACAGTGTTCAGTGTCGTCTCAATAGTTTTTTAGATTGCCTGGGAATTAATTGTATCATCAATAATTGTATTGATTTGGTTGTAGTATTAATCTACTCTTCAGTTTTGGAGATTACTTAGCTTGTTCTTTGTTAAAACTTGAAGATTGTGTGATTATTTATACAATTGATGGGCACATCATTTCTTGCTAATCCAAAATTATTGATGGTAAAGGATATTTGGTAATATTGCAGCGAATTGAAAATTGAGAACCTTTGAGGACAGCCTTCTAAGAGTGTTTGGAAGAAGATATATTGCACATATTTGCTTTTTCAATTGCCAATCGGACCATCTTCCATTATTTTAAAAATTAAAAAAAAACAAAAACGGTCGAGCGCCTTAGAATTTGTTAATAATCTTTGCGCACAGAGGAAGTGGCTAGACTTGCAATAAAATGCTTAAACAATATTGGCTCTTTACCCCCTTAAGACACAAATGCTGTGTTTGAATGAAAATTGTGATGGATTTGTAATTATTTTGCATTAACTTTATTTATTTTATACATATTTATTTTCTGAATGAATCTACGAAATTTATGCTCTTCATTGCTATTAATAGCTGCGGGTGTGTTGCGAGCTGTGGGCAATATATGTACATATGCACATACATACATATGTATGTACCTACATATGTATGTACATGCATATGGTATGTACATATATATCCATATTCGCCAGCATTCAGCATCATCGCATATACATATGTACACATACATACATATGTACGTGAAAGCAATACACGTACTCACGAACAAACACAGGCACATGTGTGTGAGTGTGTGTGGGTGTGGGTGTGGGTGTGTGGATGAACATACATACATACAAACTATGTACATATACACATACTATACATTCATACATACATACATACATATGCGACTTTGGAATGGATCCTTGGAAGGGGCGGGGACGTGGGCTTGGGCTCGGGCTCGGGCTTAGGCGTACAAAGGCGGCGGAACTAACATTTCCATTTCCATTAATTATTACTCTCTTTATAGTATGTATTATTTGATTTAAATTTCTTTTGTTTTTCAGCCCAGCGCCACAAAAATACATACATACATATGCAGTAGAAAGGTACATACATATGTGAGGGGGTATTTGAATGCACATACTTGTATGTATGTGTGTATAGTATGCAAACATACATATGTGGGTATACATACATATATCAATTAGCATGTAGCATCACTATGGATGTGTAGGTAGTTGCATGTGCATGTATTTGTGCGTGTGTGTCTGTGTTTGCCAGCTTGCATATATATATATTTTTTATTTAGTTTCTTGCTTACTCCATTTTGTTTGTTTCTCATTGCGGTTTTGTGTTTGTGTTAATTTCATTTAAACTAAATTGACTAGCATTAGCATACATCTGTGCGTTCCGATGGCAGCCTCCACCTGCCCCTCCGATTGCCTCGGCCACCACCGCAAACGGCACAGATCTTCCATACATATGAGTATTCCATAACTGTTACATAGTACATAACTAGGTTTCATATAATAAATACATTTTACGCGTGTTTACGTTTTTGGTTTAATTTTCTGGGTTTTCTTTAGTTCCTCTTCCACTAATTCTTCTTTTGTTTTCTTTTGTTTTGTTTTGTTTTGTCTTGTTATTTCGCTTCTATGCCAAGTGAGAGATATCAGTATCATTTATATATCATTTATATATAGATTCGCATATGTATATTATTTCGTATGCTTAGGTATGTATGTAAGACATACATTCTGTGTGTGAGTGTGTGTGTGTGTGTGTGAGAGTGAGGGTGTGTGTGTTGAAAACATACATGCATACGTCCTCAATATAATCATAATTGCATTCATAATCATAATCATCGAGTTCATCATCACACTGGCCATTTATGTTTGCTCGCCTTTTGTTTGCTTTGTTTTTGTAAAATACCACATCGTTATTTGTTTTGGTTTTTAATCTTTGTTTTATATATACAGTTACATATATTTTCATTTCAAATGATACTGCAAATATTAATATTATTATTTATATGTATTTTATTTAGCTGAGAGGCGCTCATTGACTAGACATGTACATATACATATATATATATATAAATTTATATGAATTTAAATATATATATATATATATGTGTGTACTTTTTCTTTTTGTTTTGTTTTTGACTAGATTATTATAATTTTTTGTTTTTCTTATTTGCATAATTCATGTCCAAGTGGCCTTCCATGTGCACATGTGTGTGTGCATGTGTGTGTGTGTGTGTGTGTGTGTGTGTGTGTGAGTGTGAGTTTCTGCCCAAGGTCAAACCACTGAAGGCAGCTCATTAAAATTAGCTACTAACACACACAATCACACACACACACACACACACACGCACACACTCGCTTTCACATACAGAGACATATATATCTATAAGTACATACATTTTATTAATTGCTGTTTAGCCTCAGTGAGTTTGTTTTTGTTTTTGTTTTGGTTTTTTCTATGCATGTGCAGATGTGATATAGTTTCTTACAGAGCCTTGATAGAGGCATCTCGGAACAATCGGTCGATCTAGCAAACTATCATGACCTTCAGGTCATCCACCTCCACCTCCCCATTCAAGTACTCAATGCAATCGTCTACGCCAAGGCCGTCGATGCAAATATCGGTCTGCTGGACAACGAAGCAGTCATTGGAGTTGGTCTCGAAGCTGTAGGCGGCATGGTCCTGGCCATCGGTCTCATCGTCGTCCCGCAGAGTTCCGAAATTCCAGGCTGGGCTGGAGCTGCTCTTGGCCACCAGCAAGGATCGCTCCTGCTCTGCCACCTCGTTGCCAATTGCGTCTTGCTCCTGCTTCAGAATCAAATTTGTCATCACAATGTGATCCTTGTCCGTGGATGGTTGCTCCTGCTTGAGAGTCGAGCAACGCTGCGACTGTCGCTGCCTGCAACTGGGAACGGTAACGGGACCGGGACTGGATGGCGATGCTAATTCCGAATGGTTGCGATTGCTGTTGCGGGTGCGACCTTGGATCTGCTTGTTGCTTAGGGGCTGTGGATGGGCTTGACTTGGTCCTTGATGCTGTCACAACATGTCATCGTGATCATCACCATCATCGTGCTCATCAACCAAGTCAAAATCATTGTGCTCCAGCTCCAGATCCATGTCGCCCTGATCGTCGTCAAAGTCCAACGACTGTTGATTGCCCAGTGGGGAGAGCGCCGTCGTGTGCAGCGTTCCGCCTCCACCGCTTCCATAGTGTACCTGACCTGAACTATTGCTTTGCTCCTGCTGTTGATGCTGCCGATGAGCGTGTTGCGCATTTTTCGAGTCATCGTCACGCCACTTGTCCATCGAACGGCGACGCGCATTCATAAAGAAGTTGCCCACCGTGGTGGGCTCCAGTCCCAGCTGACGTGCAATTGTCACTTGCATCTCCTTTGAAGGCCTCTTTGTTTCCTGAAGGGGAGGGGTGCAAAACAATTAAGCTTAGCTGCTTAGCAAGACTCTAAGGGACTGGGTCCTACCTTGAAAATGGCTTGCAGTGTGCGCCGCTGCAGATCGGTGAAGACCAAACGCGGCTTCTTAGGCTGTGGCATTTGTTCTATATGCGGCTCCTCTTTGCGTCGGCAGTTAGGCACACCGGCAGCACTGGCTAATATGCCTGGAATGGAGAAGGAAGCTAGTTAAGAAGTCGGGTAATACTTTAAATAAATTTATTTTCAGCTCTCGCAAAAAAAAAAGCCTCACACTCTTAAACTCCCAAATACGTATTTATTTACAAGTAATATGGCGTGTATTAAGAATCCGTCGTCGAGAACACCCTTACTTACACACCCGGACCTAAGCTTGACAATGTGCTCTAGGATTTAGTTAACCATCACAGAAGACATGATCTTTCTTTTTACAACTTAACCGTAGCTTTAGATCACTTTTACAGTAGAGTCCTTTTCATTACCAAAGTTTAAGTACGGTGTTAGTCAATTTATATAGTCAAAAAATATAACAATGGCCTATCTGCTTTCTGTGATATTTAAATTTCACTTGAAATTGTATTTTTCCGTTCACTTCCTTAACGCACTTTAAGCGACTTATGGACGCCTCTTAAGTCCCTTACTTTCAACAATTAAGACAAAATATTGGAGTTTTAAGCTAAATACTTAGGGCGGTTCTTTACAATAATCCCCCAATTTAGGCGAAGGCTCAAAGGTTTTCATTCGAAAAATGGTTATAGTAATCTCACCATTTCCAGACATGCTCGGCACTACACCGCCTGAAGAATTGGCGCTTCCGCTGCTGCCAACGCCGCCGCCTACTGAGGATGCACCAGCCGATGTGGCCGTTACCTGGGCACCAGTTGAGCCGGTGGCACCAGTCACAGCTCCACTGCGTTGGGGTATCTGAGCCGCAGCCATGCGTAACGCAGACATTCGCTGGAATTCCGGTTCTTGCAGCCACTTAAACATGCGTCGGAAGGTCTCGCGTCCTGACTTGAGCTTTGACCAGGGCTTAGGATTGCGTAGTAGATCGGAGAGCGTACCTTGGGAGCGGCAGAGGACACGTTGGGCGAAAATCGCTTGTGGTATGCTGTAGCGCTTCAGCTCGGCCGAAATGCGCTGCGCCAGCTCTTTGGTGTTGATCTCCTCCATGTCGCTGACGGTGCCTGCACCACCTGAGCCTGCGCCACCGGAGCGACCACCACCACCACTCGATGAAGCCGTTGTGTTGCCGTTACTGTTATTGTTTGTTGTTGTTCCCAACCCGGACCCTTGGGACTTGGGTGAGTTTAATTTTTGTTGTCCATTGCTTGAGAATCCATTTTGTTGTTGATGCTGTTGTTGCTGCTGTTGCTGCTGCTGTTGCTGCTGCTGCTGCTGCAACTGCTGCTGGTGTTGTTGTTGTTGTATATTGCACACATTTAGATTATTACTAGTTGCTATATTAGCTAGATGAAGGCCGTTATTGGGATTGCATGCGCTGTTGATTTGGTGTCCACCTTTGTGATTGTGAAGCACTTGTTGACGTTGTTGCTGATCTGAGTTCGTCACGTTGTTGTGGTTGTTGTTTCCCACAATCATGTCGCTCATGCCGAGAGCTGTCGATGCATCGCCAGGCGGTGGTGTCGGCGTCAAAGACACAACAACCGCATCTCGATGCAGGCCAGGCAAATCGCCTGTCAATTGGGTCACTGATCCATTAATGTGCGGCAGCGTAACGACCGATGTGGGATGGCTTGTTGAGATACTGCAGCCGCCAGGCGAATGCAGGGACATAGAGACCACAGAACCGGCGGACACCGAGTGCGGACTGAGCGTGGGACTGTGCTGAAGTCGCAAATTTGAGTTGCGACCGCCCGTCGAGCTGGATGAGGACGTGGCCATTATGAGATCGTGATCGTGATCATGCTGATGTCCACTGTAGCTAGACTCATAGTCGGAGACCACGACGCCGTCGCTGATGGCACCCGGCGGGCTTAGACAGATCACCTGCTTTTGCAGGGGCACCGTTTGCAATCCATGACCTCCATCCGATTTTCGACCATTCAGCTGAGGTGAATGCAGCTCCGACTGCGGAGAAAGGGCCCCACAACCACCTGGCGACGGCACCGACACGGATGATCCATGCAAGTCGCACGAGACAACCATCCCGGATAGCGTATGCGATGGCGAACTAGCGTAGTTGTGTGGTGGTGGTGAAATCATCGAAGGCAGCTTATCGTAGGAGGAGTACGGCGACTGCACACCGCCAAGACCGCTTAAGCTTAGGCCACTCAGGGAACTCTGATGATGCACTGGCATAGGCAGGCCAGTAAAAGGACCGCAGTCGTTGCTACCACCACCTCCCCCGCTGCTGCCGCTGCCACCTGTGACACTGCCCGATGAGGTAGCACTGCCTACCGAGATGTGACCGGTATATGCGAACTTATCTGACATGGTCGATATGGGCGGAAGCGGCTGAATGGGCGTGAGCGTTGCGTACGACGTGGGACTAAAACCAGGCGGCGATATGCGCTCGTTAACTGAGGTCAGAGTCTGATAGGTGCTGTGCTCCAGCGAGTTACCCCCGACGCCCAGAGCCGGACTAAGTAAATGGCCGGCAGAGTCGCGATCATCGTCGTCATCATCTTCATCGTCGTCGTCCTCCTGCGACTGCACAATCACCGACAACGCTTCACTGTGCAGATTTCCATGGTGACCCCCAGCGTGTATGTGGTGCACCAGTTGTCCGCCACGTCGCGAGAGTGGCACATGCTCCTGCAGACGCTGGTGGTGGAGCATATCCGAGGACTGGACATGCCGATGATTATATTGCTGCTGCTGCTGTTCAAGCAACTGTTGATGCTGGTGGTGCTGGTTCAGGGTGACCTCCACGCCATCTGACGAAAGCTCATCCATGACGCTTACGCTAACGTTTGCCATGTCCAGTGAGTGGTTGACTCGTCGGTTGCCGAGGCTGGCACCGCTTGTCAGGCCATCGTTCTGATGTACGATGACCAACTTATGCTCCTGCTTGACGGCGACTATTTGTGGTCCGTTGCCGTTTGTATTGGACAGTGCATCCAACGTAATATCGGTGCCCACAAAGTCCACTGGACTGCTGGTGTTTAGACGATCGTGGCGTTGCTGACGCAACGGCATTGACAACGGCCTTCCCTGCAGCTGTAGATGTTGAGGCACAATCTGATAGGTTGTCTGCACACCGCTGTGGCCCATGCCGTCAATCACCATCACTACGGAACTAGGCTCCTCGTCCCCTCCTAAGCGACTGTCACCTGTAGCTGCAATCAAAGTCTGTGCGACGGCGACATCGTGTTCATCAACGATCACTTCGTGCACCTGGTTACCGCCGCTCGCCGATATCGGCGATCCCTCGTCCTGGTGACTGTGCCCGTGCCCGTGACCAACGGCAATTAATTCACTCGTCTCGTCTACCAATTGCCGGCTAAATGTTTGAGGATCGATTATCTCGTTTATTGATTCCATTCCTCTGTAGCTAAGTGGTGTGGCGTGTGCCTCAGGTAACAGGTGAACAGCTCCAGCTACCAGCTAAGCGGTAAACTAAAACAGAAATACAAAAGCCAATGAGCAATGTTGCAAAAATGGAGGTAAATAAAAGACGTGTTTTAAAATAAAATTGACAATAGCCCAACTCCTTAGATCCTGTGGTGAAGTTCGCGTTCTCTCGATGCCCTAAAACCCGTTTTAAACTTATTTGAATATCAGATTTCCAAAACAAACCCTGCTACCTCTTGACACTCACCTGTTCTGGACAACCCTTTAGTTCACTTTCTACCCCCGTTCTTTTGTAAATCGGCACTGACAGACACCGTGAATTTAACAGCGAGATATTTAAGAGACGTTTTCTTTTGGGGTTAGTAGGCCCCTCACAAAAGGAAGCATTGTCCTAACTGCCCATTAAAACAAATATAGTTTTCCTTGCCGGCATATTAGGGATTAGTTCGTCCACGGCAAAGGGATCCTATGCCCCACTCCACAAACTTTCCACCCCTCGCCATCCGGTGGCCATCCATCACGCAAAATTTAACTGAAAGTTTCTGTTCAGGACTCCAGAGCAGTGCTGCCAAAATGTGCGTATGTGTTGGGGTTAAAAGATTTTGTTTTCACTCACATAAACATTAAACTAACTGTTATTTGTCAGTTCTGGCTATTTGCAATGTTGGGTTGCACTTAAAAATAAAACAAAAAACTTGTTTTTCTTTTGCTCTGTCTTGCTGCTCACAGCTCTTCCGTTTTATCTGGTTTGCCTAGCTTTTACACTTCCTACTTGTATATATGTGCATGTGTGGGTCTCAGTATGCGTGTGTGTGTGTGTGCGTGTGTGTGTGCGTGTATGCAGAATGTGTGTATTTCTTATTTGTTGTCAGCCGCCCGAGTTCGTTGTTGTTTTTGGCCGTTGGTTGCTGTTGCCGTTGCCGTTGTCGCCGACGTTTCGCTATATATGCCCCCGTTGTGGCCCTTTAAGGGTTGATGGTTGCTTTCCTACAGCCAGTGCTCAGGCTATCCATCTCGCTCCCACCAACGGCCGCTAGTGGTGAGCATTCAAAGGTAAGGCAACGGTCACTCGCGTGTGTTTGCCGTGAGGCAAGTGGAGCGCGCTCCTCTGTCGGCATTGTCCTGTGGCGGCAGCCTTCATAGGCTAGCTCACTGTACCTACTACACCTACATACGTGCGCCCACACACTCGCACACACACACATGCACATACACACACACACACACACAAATACAGGCACATTTGTTATGTAGTGTCCGTGTCCGTGTGCGTGTTTATGTTTTTATACTACGTATGTAAAAAAAAAAAGAGGGTTGCTTGGGGTTGCTCGTTCATCGTCGTTGCTGCCGTCGTTGTCGCCGTTGTCGTCGTTGTCGTTGTCGTTGTCAGTTGCACCATAAAAATATTTTTACATTTTTTTGTTATTGTTGTTTGTTAAACATTTGCGCTGATTTTTAAAATTGCATTTCACAAAAACATTTGAAACCAAAGAAAAAAAAACACTTTGAATTACCTTGAAGGAGTCTTCGGGCTCTTGGCTACATTTTTTCTAGCCCTCCAACACGACACAATGATACTGCTGCTATTGCTATTGCTGATGATAATGATAGAGATGTTGATTATGATGTTGGCAATGGCTATGATGATGACGTTCGTTCGGTTCGCGCACTGGCACGGCAGCTCCTCACAATTAAGGCAACTGGGGAGCTCGGGCTTCTTTTCTTCAATTGCTTAAAATGTTGATTAACTTTTACGGTTTGATTTCGTTTCAATTTTCGCACAATTGTATGCCACTGAATTTTGTTTTCCATCAAACTTTGCGCGATTTTTGCGATATTAGCGACATTGGCGACATTAGCGATTTGGGGGGTTAGCGATTTTAGGAGTTTTAGGGAATTCAACGATTATTACGATTATTACGATTATTGCGACTATTGCGATTACTGCGATTTAGCGAGACGACCACCGAGCGACGAGTTTTTTTGGTTGTGGTGCCTGCCGTGGGTGCCTTTTGCCAATTTGCTCTTTAACAGCGCAAAGTGGCCAAAATGAAATTGTTGGAAAATTTTGTATGCACGGGTATATGTGTATACGTGTACACATGCACGCCACTGTGGTGCACGCGTACGTGTTATTGTATTGGTGTGGTTGGTGTTCGTCTGTCCGTCTGTTCGTCTGCTCGTATGTCCGTATGCGTTGGTGTATGTCTCTCTGTGTGTGTGTGTGTGTGTGTGTAGGTTTGTTTGCTTGTGAGTGTGTGTGTGTGTGTGTGGTGAAAACTTTGTTATGTGTTATGTGAGCGCCCGCGTTCGCGTTCCGTGAAGTTACGGCCTCACGCAGAATATAACCAATTTAAACTGAAATGAACAGCCACATACACACGAGCTGAACCAGCGCCATCAGCAATGTTCTCGGGGCTCGTGCTCGTTCTCGTTCTTGTTCTCGTTCTCCAACGTCGTCAACGTCATACACAGTACCCATCCACATCCATATACTTGTACATCCATCCATCCACCCCTCAAAGATTGCCCGTTACGTGGTTGCCAATCGGACTGTTTTCAATTGCCAATTGTTAGTGAAAGCTGCCACACATTTTGGGCCAAAAGGCTGGTTAACTAGCGTCGTCGAAGCGCCGATATCGTTGAATAAACAAAAACATATATGTATGTACATATGTATACCTATGATTGCGTATTCCCGACGATATGTTCAGCTGGCTGGTATATTCGGAAGCAACTGCTTGTATTACCGTTAAAGCCAGGCATACGAGCTTCACAAGTGTGGCAACATCTGAGCAACGCAACCCTTGGTGGTTTTCTCAAACACCCTGCTCTCATTTGCGCTCTCATTTTCACCCTCATAGTGGCTTTCGCTCTCCTTTTCCTTGGCTCTCTCTCTCCCTCTCTCCCTCTCTGTCTCTCTCACCGTGCCTACCTCTCTGTTGGGCTCGCTCTCCATGAAAGTTCACTCGCCACAATGAACAAGAAAACGCTGCAACTGTAACCACTAACCCCTAATCACTTGTTTCTACTTGTACTACCCCCTTGCTTTCACCTCGACTTGACGTATTTCCATGTACATATGTATATATATATGTGTGTGTGTGTGTGTGTGTGCATTAATGTTGCATACTGTTTAGAGTAAGATATGACACAAATTTAGTTAGCATACTGATAGGACGCATGCGCCTACCTCTGGAGCTTCCAAAACACCACAACAATTACACAAGCCCCACAGAAGAATATACGAGTATGCGAGTATATAAACACCCGGTTACTGCGTCACTCTTGGCCACAACAACTTCATCTAGCGAGTCGAGTTGTTAGGGGCCAACTGTATAATAGTGTAATATATAAATTGTTCTATCAGGTTCCATTTGCTAGTTCAGATTTCCAACGACTCTTTATTAACAACAAATTTATAGCAGTTACATTTGATTTGATCAGTGATTGACATTCTATTACAATTACATGACTTGGGGGCCAGTTACAGGTGCCCATTGCATTAGTCGTTAGTTTGGCAGATCAGTAGAATATACGATATACGATATACATTATATCCTTCTGGGATACCCTCGCCCAATTAAAAGCTTCACTGCCAATTAAAAGCTGCGATGGGATAACGTAGTATGTACAAATTGCGCGCAAAGTCAAAACGACGTCGATCCATTAAATGCGGCCGATCGGTTGAGTTAACGAGATCGATGCATTCCTTCTTCTTCATCTACATATAGTGCCTATCCTACTTTTGTTTTGTACAGCTTGGCTTTCTACGCCTACACGCGATCTACACACGACTAGTACACATACACTCTCCTCTAATCTCTTTATACCATACTATATCTTTTTCTTGTATTATAACTAAACAGTGCTTGATTATGCCGTGTATCATTTCATTTTTCAATATTCATGTACATAGTAGATTTAATATTAATAATCAGTTTAATGGAAACTGTGCTTAAAAATTTGCAGTGCTAGTTTGAAGTAAAATATTATATATCTCGTATTAACTCACTTGCGACTCTGACGCTTTCAAATTTGTGTATAGCATATAAGTACTTGTATGTATCTTAATTTAATAACAGCTTTATGATCGACATCGTAAGCATCGTCTAGCAGTAACATTTAAAATGGGTTTCTCGTATGTCATAAATAGTAACTCGATATTTCTTGAGTTTCTTTTGGTTTCATTTGTATTTCTCTGTTCTATTTTCTGAATTGTTCGCTTTAATATCGAGTCTAAAGGTATTTGTGTATGTTCGTGTGTATATATATACTATATATATATATACATACATATATATCATGTATATCTTCTATATGTTGTATGGAATTTCAATATTTTAACAGCATGTCTGTGTTTTTCTCTATTTCTGCTATGTTTTTTTTTTTTTATAAGTATATTCTTTCAATAGACCATCCTAGCATCTTACTTCGATTAAGGTACACTATTCACTTCATTATCAAGGTTTTTAACGAGGTTCGTTGAATCTACATACGAGTACGTTGCAAGATTTAAATAAGCTATGTCGTCGCCTTGAAAAACTATAATATCTCAAACAATTGCTGTAGGTACTATATATTGCTCTGCAAATGCCCTGCAATCTGGTACCTAGAGCCATTGTCTAAAAGGAGTTCGCTTTCACTCAGGAAACACTTTTGGAAGAGATGAGTTCATTGTTAACTTTAATGTGCATTTGTGATGCATCCGACTATGTGTAAGCTATCTAGCTATAATTTATCTATTGGATCGATATAATCACAATACTCACGAGCTGGTGCGCATGCGCTCCACTAGCGACTGGCCAAATGTTTTGACAAAATGCATATGTGGGAATTCTCAGTTTCTGTTTGCTATGCCAGGAACGATCGAACAACAAAGAATCAACTGCTAGAGCGGGCAGGAAAGTTGTGTGTGTTAGTGTGTGTGTTAGTGTGTCTGTGTGTGTGTGCGCTGATGTAAATTGCTGCTAGCCTCTATATTGGGCGGTTGTGGTCCAAGGCTCTATGCGCCTCCCTGCCGCCTCAGACGGAGGATGTGGCGTTGCGATCACTGTCGATGGTCAGACTGGACGCACGCATGCTCAACGATGCGAGGGACAGGTTGCTTCGATAGACAGCCTTTGGGGAGTTGTTGGCTGTCAGCAGTAGCGTCGTACTCTCAATGCTGGGCATGGACTTGTTATTCAAACCATTGCAGAATACGGCCGACTCATTGCCACGTACTGGTAGCGGCAAAAGTGCTTCATTATGCAGACCCAGGAATCCCTCAACTGCCAGCCCATTGGCATTGAGCGTTACGGTCGCTGCGCTGCCTCCATCAGTGCTCTCGTTCTCAGCATTGGCACCACCCGTTCCGCACAAGTGTAGTCGGGAGCTGAGCACCTTATTGCAGGCCGGACAAGAGCGTGTCGGTGTGTTCTTGTCCCGCCGTCGCATTATGTCATGGGCACATCTATACAATTGGAGATCCGATAGATAAAGGATACATAAATAATGTATAAACTTGAGAGAGAGAGAGAGAGAGAGAGAGAGGGATTTCTCCTTCATTCCGTCGAACTCTACCTCGCATGGAGAATGTGGGCGCATGGTAGCGCTTCCAATGAATCCGGCTGCAAGCCAAAGAGCTCTCCACAGGCGCCGCAGTTTAAGCCCAGGGCCGCATCAGTTTGGTTTGCCAAGCGAAAGTGCGTGTTGTACTGATCCTCATCGCCTAGGGCACGGTAGATCAGCGCCAATCGGCTGCGTATCTTACGGACCAATAGCTGAAATAAGGCAGGGACATATTCATGCCTGGCTACCACAACTACATCTGGTGCACTATACCTTGGCACCTATAGAGCTGGCGACCTCCAGCAAACGGGTGTTAAACTCCAGGGGTCTGCAATTGCAAATCTTCTGCTGAAGACGTAGCGCCTCCAAACAACGTGCGGCTCCATCCATTGCCTCCATTTGTGCCATGCGATCACCCAAAGAAGCTGAGGTGCCCATCGCTTGCTCGTATTGCCTAAAAGCGCGCTATAGCGCCGATTAAATAAGAGTTTAATATTTGTCGTATTGGGCTAAGAACTAAGGGGAATGCTCCAAAGTGCTTACATCGATATCCATTTTCTTGCGGTATATGTCGCCCATGACGCGAATGCACCGAGTATAGGTTGCTTGATCACCGGATATTAGCGACAGTCTAGTTGCCTCCATACAGTAGTCGTGGGCATCCCCCAGATCACCCTGTTTGCGCAGCGAGGCCGCCATGCGAAGCAGTGCAGCCCGATGGTGACAAGAGTTTAGATCGCCCAATTGCAATGATCTAGATAGATCGTAGGCTTTCGAGGCATAGGTGGCGCTCTTGTCATTATCTTGCAGACGTCCAAATAGCTCTGAAAGGGCCACATAGACCTGCAGTTCCAGCGAGGGATCCCCAATGGCAGTGGCTATTTTATGGGCACCCTGCAGACCTTCCAAAGCTCTTGAGAAGCCGCCCATCTCTAGGTACACGCGTGCCACGGTCAAATGTACCAAACCTCCAGTACGGCACTTGGTGCCACACTCATTATATAGCGAATGCCGGGCATAGCTCAGAGCCCGCTCCAAGCCACCCAGACTGGCATGTGCTCGACTCAGATTCAAATAGGTTTCGGCTCGCATGGTTGGAGAGTCCAGCTCCTCGGATATGCCTAACTGCTGGTGTCCAAATTCGATGGCCTCCCGGTACTTTCCCCAGTCCATGTGTGCCTGATACAAATAGCCCAGCAGCTGAAAGCAATCCTCCCGCCTACAGGTGCCCAGAGCACTGCGCCAGGTGCGCACGGCTGCGGTTTGATTATGTTGCTCATACAGACGCAAGCCCCGCTCGATCTGTCAACGAATTCAGTGCTTGAGTCCCTAAGGAGTGGGGAATGGTAGATGATTGGGAGCTACACACCTTTCGTTTGGCCATATACTGACGCAAGCTGCGTTGGCAAGCCCAGAAGCAGCTAATCACCGAGTTGCCTGGACGTAATAGACTCTGTCGTGCCCACAATGAACCTCCCTCCGGACTGGAACCATAGCCTGCGATTCGCGAATAGCTCTCATCTAGTTGACAAAAATCTATAAATAAAATTCAAATAGACGATATCTCCGCATACCCACACAAATACTGACCATTTGAATTTTCCAGCAAATAGCGCGACCCATCCGGAGAAGCCAACAGATGTGTGGCAGACAGATTGTGACTAGGTGGAATGCTACTGTAAATTTCGATTACTGATTAGCTAAATGGACCAGGAGAATTTTCAGAGAATTACCTTAGCAGGTCTTTAGATGCGATGCTCTCCCATGACATGACTGTGCCTGCTCCTCACGCTGAAAACACACACGCTCAATTATGCAGAGTGGGCTGGGCTGGACTGAGCTGGACTGGACTGGGCTGGGCCTGTCGAGTAACAAGTCTGCTTGAGTCTCTGTCTCTGTCTGTGTCTATGGCTGTGTCTATGGCTGTGTCTATGGCTGTGTCAGTCAGCATTTTTAATATTGCGAAAAATTTCAAACATCTCTCTCATCCACAGCCTCAGGCAAACAACAGAAATGAGCTTTTACAAACAAACAACACACAACACAATGTTTACACTCATCATGTTCAGCACGCTGCAGCAGACAGACTTCAAGGATATGGGATAACAATTGCTTCGGAGTGACTTTGGCGATAGCAATGTCAATAATTACTTTATCACGACACATGGATATATAGTACATACATATGTACATATGTATATATAGTACATTTCTTCACATCACACAGACATCAGGAGAGAAATGCATTGAAACAAATAAATAAATGAGAACCTGAATCGCCTATTGGTGATTATTTCTTATTTCTTATAAGAACTGGGCGGTATGCATCTCAACTGTCCACATTTTTCGAGTCGCATGTGGCACGAAGTTGGATTCGCGTGACCTTGGCTCAATTACGCGACTCAGCTTCGAAATGCACTTGGATTATCCAAGGTCTGCTGCCATTTGAGACGTGCACTGATACCTGACCATTACAATAAACGGGGAGTAACGAAACTAATGCAGTCCCAAGGGATGCTGCATTGAGGCGCTAAACGTTTTCTTCTCCTGTCTACTTTAGTTAATAACGGTACTGTAGCACAAATCAGTGCAATTACTCGTCAAATGTATGCCAAACTGTTTCTGTTTTTTTCGACTTTTTTCCACGATTCATACCTTAAACAGATTTTGGTTTAGTTTTATTCGTGGCGTAGTCGGACACACAACTAGAAACAGAGGGATTTTCTCGCACTGTTTTCTTGCTCTCCGCGTGATGCTGTGTGCCCGTGCCCCATTCGAGAGAGAGCCGTTACCGTTACGCTCTCAAATGATGGGTGGTGGTGGGTTCACAGTTGGTGGCTTGGTCTTGAGTGACGTTTTTTGTTAGCAGCAGGTACAAAAGCGAATCGGAACTAGTTCAAAACGGTGACTGAGCAGAGCATTAATCACTCGATATTACTCTTGTCCCGTTAAGTCCTTGGGCAGATGAACCGATAACGGGCACGCTTATCCAATTGGAATAAATCGAAAGCTTATCTGGCGCGATAACATACATATTGTAACGGATAGCGTTATAAAAATCTCACCACACAATTAAATTAGAACTATGTATTTAATTTGTTCGGAATTTGCAGTTCAAATTTGAAGGCCAAATTACAATAGCAATAGCAGTATTTTAAGGGATTTGAATTCCAATATGTTATTAATATTATCAGTTGTAATATTTGAATTGATTTCACTCCGATATTAAAACCGAGAATGGATATTCAAATAAGTTTCGCGCAAAAGTTGATTTTATTTAACTTTATGTGAATACACTGCAATAGAACCTCATCATTTATTTGGCACCGTCAATCTGGGGCCTTAAACAAATTTTAAAAAATAAACAGATAATTATTTCTTAGCTCACAAAAATCTTAGATTTCTTACTACAGTTTTTCTAAACATTTTCGATTTGGTGCAGTTCGAGTTAAGAAATAAGGAAACAACATTTTTTAAATTTATTTCTAAAACTTAGTTCTACTTGTATTTGTTTTGAGTTCCACATTTGTAGCAATATCCTGGGTTGGTTTGAGGTTGTATGTAACAGTCAAAAGGAGGCAAGTAGACACAACATATTTACTTCAAGCCTTGGTCGGCCAGTTGAGATGTCCAAATTTATAAATATTTCGAGCCCCTCCCCAATGTTAGTTAGTAACTGTAACGTATTCCGAGGGATGCATTTGCTGATGTAGATTTTGTTAATAGGTTTCCCCAAGTGGTTATTCCCCAAATGGTTATTTGTTGCTCTGGTCTAATTTATCCGAATAGGAAAATGGCAATTATATTTCTTTTTCAATCTTTTGAGGATATCTCATTAAATGCGAATAATTTATTTTAATACCTCCACCAAAGCGACAAGTGGGAGCGGCCATAGCATTAGAGGTCCTGTGCAGGATTCAACGAACACCAATCCTGACCACCTGTGAAATAATAAGTAAATAAAAGGCCTCGTCGTGCGAGATGGATTTAAGTTCAAATTGGTTTTTATTTGCATTGATACATTTCATTTATCCACACTCTTCTTTCGATTTTTCCTTTCTGCTCATAGTTTCGTTTGTTTCATGCCTTTGCTTATTTTATCCCTTAAGTGGTATAAATAGATATAAATATGCTGCTACTATTACAAACTACTTTACTCCTTCCCTGCTCCATCATCCACCCTATCTACCATCCATATATATTCATTTCAATTGAATTATGTATCTTCGTTCGACCTGGCATTCATTTTGTGTGTGTGTGTGTGTGTGTGTCGTGTGTGTTTCTGTGAGTGCTGTGTGTGTGTTGTGTGTGTAATTGGGTGAGTGGGTGTGCGTAGTAGGCTTATTAGACTTCGCTTACAAATTACACTTAACAACTCTCTCTCTCATTTTTTATTATTATTTTTTTTTTAAGTATTGCCCAAACGAAGACTTGTGTTTTATTTTATTTCATATTTTCTCAATTGTTGTTGTTTATTCGAATTGCGGTTCAGTTACAAAATTGTAGGACATGTGCGTGTGCGTGTCTGTCTGTTGGTTGTGTGTGTGGTCTGAGTGTGAGCAAAAATATATACGTGTATATACTATATACATATATATATTGCAGATGAAGCTGTGTACTGCAAATAAAAGAGGCACATGTATGTATGAATGTTTGTATATATGTATGAGTGTGTCGGGTGGGCGAGGATGAAAGTATCTGAATCGGATGACACGATCGTGATCGCAAAAAACTGAATTAATTTGGAACTGCTGATGTGTTCTGGGTTATAGAAACGTGTATCTCTGTGTGTGTGTGTGAGTGTGTGGAACTTAGGGTGAGCATGTCTGTGTGTGTGTGTGTGTTCGTTCGATTTGTAGTTTGTATGTAGTATTAATAACTTAACTAGGAAATGAAAAAATCGTAAGTAATTAAGTTGTATGTATGTGTTAAAAAAAAGTATGGTGGGGTTGACGAGCGACAATATGAGGACCCGTATTGTTGTTGGATGGCGAAAGTCTTGAACTAAGTACGAAGCCGGTAACAACGGTGCTGGCCATTTGGTTGGCCAATTGGTTGGTCAGTTAGTTGGTGAGTTGGTCGGTTGGTTTGTTGGTTCTGCTCGCAGGTCATCTCCATCTTTGAAAACTATTATGCGTGAGTGCTTATGTGTGTATTAATGTATGTGTTATGTATTCGTATGCGTAACCTTAATGATCTCATTCTGTATCTGAATCTGAGTTAAAATGTTGCTCTTATTCGTATGGGTGAGTACGAGTAATATTGTATCCTATTGTACGATTATGTGTGCCTGTGTGAGAGTATGGTGTGTGTGGAGAGTTGGTTGGTTGGTTGGCTGGCCAGTCAGATAGAAAACAGAAAATATTAAATTTGAGTTCGTTTTTGGTTTGGTTTGGTTTTGTATATACTTGTATATGTGTATGTGTGTGTGTGTGTGGGTGTGGGGAGGATGCTGGAATGTTCGGATGATATAAATTCGGTTTAGTTTGCAGTTTGAATAGGCATTGCTATTGCTGTAGCTGTACGGAGGATCGTTAACGAGAAATGAAAATAAAACAAAAATGAACTATGATGTGGCATACAAAAATATAAATAAATACAAATAATAATCATAAGCATTTTTACACATGTAAAGAAACTGATTGGTGAACAGAATTGTCCATGTAAGAGTGGTTGTGGTGGTGGTGGTGGTAGTGGTGCGATTGTGGGAGTGTAGAGGCGTGCACGGGTGTGTGAGCATTGACTACAATGCAGAAATGGCAATACAAAATTTTCTTTTTGTTCAAGAGTAGTTTTACAGTTAGTGTTTATATATAATGCACAATACTCTTTTCTGACCAATTTCAGAGCCAGGCTTAAAATACACCTCAATGATCTGGTCATTATCATCATCTTCATCATCTCTACTTGCTGCTTTTACATACTATATGTATGTATGTGTGTTGCAGTAAAATTATGTATATGAATAATACATATGCATGCATGCATGTGTCTGTAGTATGTAAATATAAATTTGTCATTTTCATTCTTCTTCATTTTCTTTATCTTGTTGCTGTTGTTGTTGTAATGGAGCATATGTATTCCTATGCATCAATAATTTATAAATGTATCTTTTTGCTCCGTTTCTTCTTATTTTTCATTTCTTTTTTTTTATTAAATGTACAATCGTTATAACGTTTCACCTAATTTTTGTTTATATATATATATATATGTATATATTTGTTTATATATACACACACATATATAAAAATGTAAATGTATAATACAACTGTATAAATGTATTTATATATATGCATAATGGGTGGCTACTCAATTGGATCTGATAAATTTTGCGTATTCAAAAATTTCACCCTAAAATTCCATAATACTGGTATACAAGTAGGTAGTATATTCATTTCACTTATTTAGATTGGTTATACAATTAGTAATATATATATATTTTTATATAAAAAAAACTAACAAGACTCATAAATTATTTGTGGTTGTGTGAGTGAGTTTGTGTTTGTGTGTATGTATGTAGAACCATTGTCTTTTAATAATGGCTACAAAACCTAATTCAATAAAAATGTCATTTATCGCAACCAATTGTTTAGTCACCCACTATTAACACATATTATGTACATAAATATAGGTCTAGTTTTTTCCCATTTTGAAGAAACAACATCCATATACTGCTTGGTTCATTTACAAAATTAAAAAACAAAACAAAAACAAAAAAGCATAAGAACATAAAACTTACAGTTGAGTTCTTTGAATTTCACCTTTCCCATATTCGAAATACTTAATGCGAATGTAAATGCATACATCTGTGCCTATATCTAAGCCTATGCCATTGTGGATGCCTATGCATCATCATCATCATCATTATCATCATCTATGTAAAACATACATACATTGGTTTCGTTCAATTTAACATTTAGGTTTCTCATTACATTTCATTTCATCTGTTCATCGTTTACCATTTGGATCACTTACTTGCTAATTTCCTACTCGTGTTCTATATAAACGTATGCTAATATTTATAATTTCAGTCAAAGGTGTCATCGCACAAAGTCAAATGTACGAAGAGTGTGTTCTTTTTATTTATGTGTGATTTGTGAAAATGGTGGGTGGGGAGGGGCTGTGGTTTGGGGAGTATGGGGAGGGGGATACAAACACTATGGTGGCAAGTGAGTGGCACGTGTTTATGTTTTTCATTTCCATTTCTTTTTTCATTTCATTTTTTTTTGTTTTGGTTTTTTGTGCACTTCGGTTGGGAATTTGGAGCTGAAACGCTTAACGATTAATTTAGTCATTGCCACATAATTGCGAGTATTTTGGAATTTATTGCATTGCTTGCTTGCTGCTTTCGTTAGCAAAAATGTCAAAAGTATTTCACATGAATGTCATGTTATTAGTCAAATGAAAGCCGCAAATGTTATGATGCTTACGGTCTGTCGTTGGAGGGTTTGTATTTTTAACGGACTAAAACTTGCAGACGGGACAGATAAGAGATACGTATGTATATACATATGAATGTATGTATGTATATACATATGCATGTAGTGTGGTCATTATTTTAACAATCTCTGTCACAGATGCCAAACTGAAGCGTCCAGACGGGAGAAGTGTGAAAAACTGTGCCAACTGCGTTCATATAGATTCAGATTCTGCTGGAAGCTGCTACGAGGCTTATATTATCTAATTTCACTGAGGCCATCAAAAATGATGCTCTCTCTCTCTCTCTCTTTCGTTTTCTCTGTGTGTTTCTTGGACCTGCTTTTGCTGGCTGTCCTTATTGACTTAAGAGCTATGAGTTACAACTAGATCGCTACAAACTATGTTTCAATGCGCTTTAAATTTTCATTTGTTTACTTATTAATTCTATTTCACCTTTCTCCTTCTTTTCTACTATCTTTTGTATTCGATTTCTTTTTTATTGAAAAAATGCATAAATAAATTGAAGGGTCTTCAACCCTTCCGCCACTTCCTCTTCTCTCTCCTTTTTCTCCTCCTTCTCATTTGCTTCACGCGTTAATAATTTTCTTCTGCTCCGCCGCTTTCATCTCCTCTTTCTGTTTCTCATTCTTCTCCTTCCTCATCCTTTTTCTCCATCGAAATTATTATCTAGTTGCCAATGAATTGTGTGTGTCTGTGTTTGTGTGAGTGTGTGTAGGGCCGTCGAGAGGAAATACGGACCCGGGACTTTGAACATAACGGGCCCATATATTTACATATGTAAACAAAATGAAATACTAAAAATGTTCTAATGTTCAGAATTTTCGGGCCCCCATTTTCCCTATCCCTCTCGACGAGCGTAGATGTGTGTGTGTGTGTGTATGTGTGTGAGCCTAATTGAATGGCCTGCAGCTGAAGGAAGGCAGCAGTCCATGCCGGCCAGTTCACCGTTTGGCACAGGCAGTTGTTTTCTTTCTATCGGGTGCTTTACTCCATGTTGCCACGAAAAGGCCGAGCAGGTAATGAAATGTGACAACCATGATCATGGCGAGACGCTCCAATGCATGCAGACTGGCGCCGAATCGTCGCGGAGAGAGTTGGGCGAGCTGCGTTCCAGCGCTAACCAAATGGGGCAGGATGTTGATGGCAGATATCGTTGACAATGGCAGCCAGATCCAGAGACAGGCGTTGATTCCTTTCGTTGATAGCGGTGCTCCGCTGTTATAGGTAAGTTCCTCGTTTTTGACAACTTCGTTTTGGTGTTGGTCATCTATAATGATTTATATATTGAATTAATCGGATTACATATTGAATTTTCCCCATCTAGGCGTTCAAAAGGCCAACGGCCAAGTGAATGCCCAACCACTATATAAGACATTCCATGGATGCCATGCTAAGAAGTGATCGTACATAGGAAGCTGGTTTGGCAATTGGGCTTGGGCGCACCGTGGACTTTGGCGGATTTGGAATTGGCTTACATAATGAGGCTTGCGGCACGTTTCAGCGCAACACGAACGACTATGGGTATAAAATCGAGGGCTGGATCATTAAGGTTTAGCAAACATATCTATGTATAGTATATCTCTCAAGTGCTTACGGGAACGCGTTCAAGGAGCAAACAATGCGATTATTTACTTCGTTGCGTGATTTTTGTGCAGGCATTAAGGCATTGGTTGGACAAGACAGCATTATATATATATATATATATATATATATATATATATATATATATAGGCGCTTGTCTAACTTTGTTCAGTACGTTTGTGAATTTGTTAGTAATATATTTTTACTTATTTTCGATGTGGCGCTCGTGCATGATAATGATTGTGAAGGATCTAGAGATGAGCAATTTATTGAAATGTTTTTATTCCCAGCACTTAAGGGGACCTTAAGGGTGTAGAGTACAAAAGATCTTGTTATGGAAGTACGGAAAAAGTTATCGTCAGTCTGTCTGTCTATATAAGTCCATTCGCTTTTTAAAGGGGCCGCGATATGAGAATCGCAGAGGAGAACATTATAAGCTCTAAAAAGACGTCTTGCGTGAGGAATTTTTGAATTACGTTATCATGCCCAAAGATAATACAAAGTTGACTTGGATCAATATACGTAAAAGCGTCAAATTAAAATGTTTAAAAATTGGAAAAATTGTGTCCTATAAGGAACGCGATATATGAATGGATATATTGGCAATATTATATCTTATTTGTCTGATTATCTTATGGCTAATGGCTCGTCGTGGTCAGATTGCTGAAGAATTTAAAAATCACATTGTCGCTCATCTCTAGAATATGATAATGAATGGTTTTCTGTGTTGATGGATGGGCGTGGACATAATTTCCAGTCTGGGTGTTGGGTACTGGGATTTGGATTGCTTTTTTAATGATGAGTACTGGACCGGGGGTTGTCGGGTAATGAATTTTAGAGTTTCTACTTACTTTTCGTCTTATCATTACCAAGAGCTGGCGGACTGTGGGACGGTGGTGTGTAAATGCTAGCATTTTTATGTCTGTCTGAGGTGGTGGTGTTAATTTTGACATTGGTGTGTATCGGATGGAACTGTTTGTTATTATTAGTAGTAGATATGCTGGTGGTAATTGTTGTGTTAGCGCCCGTGCCCGCTATTGGGTTAATGCCCCACGCCGGCCAGTTCACGGTGCTCTGTACAATGTTACTGTGATTTGTGTCAATAACCGGTGGCAGATAATGAACACCACCATTGCCAATATTGATCGGAAAGGCGCTATTGGCGCTACTGCCGTTGCTGCTATCGCCTGTGCCTGTGCCTGAGCCGAAACCAACTTCTTGGATGTACTGATCACCATCATGTGTGTGTTCTGTAAATATGTCCTTACCATTGCCGTTGCCCTTATGCGGTGGATTATTCTGTTGCGTTGGCACATTGTTAATACGGATACCCGTTTGTATGTGATGATGGCTCGGATATTGCGCAATGTTGACGCCGCCACGTCCAGGTGGCAGCATATTGATGCTACCATGGCCGGGCGGAAACATAATCCCGCCACCGCCTCCCATGCCACCCATTCCGACGCCTTGATTGTGCCTTCCGTTGGGCTCTGAGCCAGCGCCAATATTATTGCCCATCATGTTCGGCTGTATGGGTATACGATTGAACTGATCAATGTTGGTATTGATCGACGTGCCAACGCCATTGATTGGCTTCAACTGTACGCCGCCACCGGCGCCCTGTATGGAGCCGCCGCCTGGTATGAGACCCGTGTTTACACCGCTGATGCCAATCGTGTTCACTGCGCCCATATGATGGCCATGCCCATGGTTCGCATTGTTCGCCGAATTCATATCAAAATTGACGGCTGAATTGTCCACGACACCATTGCCGGACGCACTGGAACCCCCATCGGCCCCGCCTATGCCGCCAGCGGCTATTGCTGTCGTAGCCGGCGTCGTTTTGTTTTTCTCCTCGGGCGCACAACAAACTTTGAACACAACTTTCATATTATTCGTTGAACAGCGGCCGCCAATGCGCCGATACAAGTCGTCCTTCGATGAAGTCGCTGCATACACAATGTATAGATATAGTTTAGTTTAGGATAATCGATCTAATTTCAGAATTACTCACAAATGAAGTAGTAGTCATTTCCAGGTAGGAACTCCAAACCACCTGGCTGCGGTGTAAATGGCCGGAAAGTTATTGTAAAAAACATTAATTTCTGAGGTTTATCACATATAGCTATTACTCGCGGGTCCGCGTTCGTAATACGACATGTCTCGTACTCCACTTTGGACACGTTGTATATTATGTACTTCTCTGTCTCGTTCTCGAATGTGCCTGGCTCGTATACTGGACATATTATGTGCACCTGATCGAATTCAAAGGCAAGATTCCCTTTATTTACGTCGATAATGTGATCAGTGTTATCAATACGGAATCTGAAAGTGAAAACAAATACCTTTATGAATTAGTAAAGTTCGATTTGATTTTCATTTTTCATTTCACTACGATTACTAATTGTATCGGAATCAATCGAAGGATGTCCCTAAAGGCGCACGTAATAAGAGAAGGGCTACAGCTTGGCAGAAAGTTTTGACTTATTGGGAAAAGATCCAGGCCAGAGTTAAATTTGTAAAAAAAAAATGATTCTTCACATATTTGGAGAGAGCGTTTTCTGCTTACTGCAGAAACACATTAACACATTTTCAAACTGTTACAAAAAAAAGGATGGATGCGTTACAAGAGTTATTTTGTTAAAACGCTCATAATTTGTAAAACATGGAGCGAATTTAAAATAAACACAAGGAATCCAAGTAAAAGTCCAAAAAATTCTTTGCAATATTGTTTATTATAGTTCTTTACGTTTAAATTTCGTTGAAATGTTTGGTTTTACTAAGATAAAATCTCAATGCGGAGAATACTTTATTCAAAACAAATACAAGTTCTTGATCTAGAAATTTGTGTGCCACACTCTATATATTAGCACGTGACCACCTTTCTGAACTATGTATGTAGTTGCAGTCGAAGGTAAGACTTGCAGGGAAATGGCTAGAGCCTTAAATTTCTGTTTGAGAAAGTTTAGTCTTGTGTTTTTTCCGCAATTATAAAATCGCACGTATGCGTCTTTAGTTGCCGCTATACCTGAAAGGCATATGCAGTATTTATGTATATATGTACTTTATATATATAATATACATATGTATATGTAGAGAGAGAAGTAAACGGAACGCAGAAATACATTTGCACGTTTCGGTCTCGTCGCTTTATACACTTGGGTGGGCATATTGACGGTGTATTATAACTGCCTCCCCCTTTTTGGCTTCGACCTAGCTAGCTGTGGCGGTCTTGGTCTGCTTCTTCTGATCCTTTGCTTCTTTGCTTTTATTTATTTATTTATTTTTGCCAATGTGGGGCCAAAGGCCGCCCGGTGGTTGTTGCGTTGCGGCAAATGGGTGGTTAAGGGCGGTGAGGGGTTGGCGAAGACGGGGACGTGCGTCGTTCAGCGTTCGTCAAGGCATGTCCCAAGTCCCACAAAATGCAGAACGCACCGTTGAGTTACACAGCCTGGAAACGGGCGGGCCTGCCAGGGTACTGGTACTGGTTCGGGCTCGAGCTTGGGTTTACAAAGCGAAAGTGCACTGTGTGTTCCCGTGTTCCCATGTTCCCAGCTCCCCGATGTTTCGCACGACGCACGCACTTACGTCTGCTCACCGCCTTACTTACATACTATACATACGTCTGTTTCCTTGGTTGCCTTATGCCTGTTGTTCTCCTTTGTTTTTTCTTCGCATATATAATTTTTTTATTTTGTGGTGCTTTGTAAATCAAAAATCACCCCCTAATGATGAGGTACGCATATTTTACATGTTCTCTCTAGCGACAACTCCACAGCGACCGACCAACCGACCGCCCGCCCGCCCGTCCGACCCCCTGCTGCCTGCTTGACTGCCTGACGGCCTTTCTGGCTGACACACACATCAATATGAGTGTCCGTGCCCACGACTAGAGTTACATGCGAGCAAAACATTCGCAGTGGCTTCTACACTGATAAAAATGGACGCGACTTCAAATTTCGCTCTGTTATAAATCAGATGGAGTCTCTACTTTTGTCAACAAGTTTAATTACAATTATATTATAAAGATTTAACCTTATTTAGCATATCGAACAGATCTGGCTGTAAGTGTATATGTAGATCACATTTGAAAAATTATACATATATAGCATATCATTTGAAAAGGGTTTAACAATATATATTGTTTAAACTTGATCATGACCTGGTATTGTTGTACTCATTTTAACAAAGAGTTGTTATTGTATTAACTGGCATGCTTAAAAAATTCATAAAAATACATTAAAAGTGCAGAGGGAACTAAAATATATACATAAAATGTATTTAACCACTTGTCGCTGTTTCGTTTTCTCATATAGAGATGTCGATATGACATACCGGAAATTCTAGAAGAATAATATATATTTTATTTGAAAATAATTACTATTTTTTAAGAGAAGCTCATTCATTTCGGACACTATTTTTTTTGTTGAGTGTAAGTATAGCATCCACCTCACCTCACCCCACCACACCTCATCAAGTCAGGCACCTCACCTCAGCTTATACCTCAACTCAACTTTTTTTTACCCACCCCCACACTGACGCTCTCAAACAAAAACCCAACAACAGCAATAACAAGAAGAACGTTACCGGCGACGACGACGACGGCGATGACGACGACGGCGATGACGACGAGTACGAGTCGCACGCACTCACCTCGTCGCTTGCGTAAAAGACGCTGAGGGATTCTTCTAGCCTGTTGTGTCCTGGGCTGGGGCGAGCACTAGGTGGCCTTGCCTGCCAACCAGCCAGCCTGCCACGAGGGTGGACATACATGCACATGCATATGCATACTCGTTCGTATGTACATACATACATACGTATGTAGCTTGCAAGTCTATGTCTGAGTGTGTGCGTGCGTCTGTGTGTTTGTGCGCCACTTAAGTGCGTTGCATTGCGTATCGTTGCATTGCGTCGACGTCTCTCCTCTGCTACCAATTTTTTTTTTGCCACTGCTCCCGTTATTGTCGTTGTTGTTGTTGTAATTTACTGACGAAGGAAGTCGACTGTTAGCTGAGACTTGGATCGCAAGCAGCGGGTTTTTTTCTTGTTTTTTATTTTTTTGCTGAAAGCCTTTTGGATCATCGAAATGGAAGCGTTTCTCGAACTCCTTATGTTCAGTCAGAGTCCTGTTTCTGCTCCTGTTGCTAGGCTCAGGGAATTTGCGTCAGAGCATTGCCCAGAACCGAACTGACGATGGGACGACAACCACGACTACGTGTTTTTTCTGCCGCATGTAATTGCATATATCGTGTGCATCTGTCTATATACAAACACACACACACACACTCACAAAAACTCACACACACTCTGGTATGCAACGTGGGCAGAGGGGTTGGAGGTAAACTGCTGCATTTTTAATCTGTATGTGTCCTCAAATGCTTTGGCATATCCAACGCCTCCGCACAGCCTGCCCATGTGTGTGTCATAGCATGTGTGTGTGCGTGTGTGTGTGTTCATCGCGTTAAAAATTAAAAATCGAATTGGGGTAATGATATGCACGGTCCGTTCACTGTACGAACTGTCGCCTATAGCCCATGTTGATAGACTCACAAACACAAACACCAAAACACAAACACACACATACATGTATAGTACACACACGCACATCAACACTAATACTAACACTAAAAGACTGGCATATGCATGAGTACATCAAAATCTATGGGGGAACTAGGCGCAAATATGGGTTAGGTCATGTCTGGCTTGTCTGGCGCAACGCCCTCGCATTGGTGTGGAAATCCGTAAACAAATCTAACGGACAAACTTATTTGCTTTCAGTTGGAAACCTTTCTAAACTAAACAATCTACATATGTATATATGTACATATAATCAATCAAATTCAAATCAACTTATTTATCTGTCTAGCCAAGATCTGCGTTTTTCCCCCACTTTGAATTAGTCCCAATGTGTACTACAACATTGGGATTATAGAAAATACTTGTATATCAGTCAATGCCCAAGCTTTCGGTCATTCCATGACCGTGTTTTGAATTCAACTTTCCCATTCATTTTAGTTTCAAGAAGACATGCAACTTCATTATCATAACGAAACTGAAGGATTACTATGAACATTGCGAAAGAATCAGCAAACGTCTAAGCAATTCCATATCTGAACTATTCAGTTGATTACAGTTATAATAGCTATTATAAAGTTGTGCTTAGTACTAAGTTATGCGCCCATTTATCTTTCTGAGCGTTGATCTAATCTAGCGTATCATAATTATAGATGAAATAGTTTAATAGGATACTCACATGCTATTCGATGTGTTCCAGTGCATATAAAAGGTTTTGGCGCAGTTGGACATGGTCGAGAGTAGCACCGTTTCGATGCAGATCAGCGTGAGCAGCGTGACAAAGGATGTGGCGCCCAGTGTGGGCAGGGGAAAGAATTTTGTGCGACGCACCGAGGATGAGGATGATGAAAGGCATCGCTTGCTCTTTGTGCTTTTTCTATTTATTATTTGTTTTTGCAGGTCGGTCCTTATCGTTGTTGATGTTTCTGTTTCTGTTGTTGATGACAATGTTGTTTGTGATGTTGTTATTGGCGATGAAGCTGCTGTTGTGATCGGCGGCATTGGGGACTGCGTGTTGTTATTGTTATTATTGTTGTTGGGATTCAGGGATGCTATTTGTTGTAGAACGGCAGCAAGTGTTGGTGGCATGGCAATGGACGCAAGGAGATTTTTGCTATTGTTGTTAGTGTTGCTGTGGTTGCTTTTGCTTTTAGATTTTCGATGCATTGCCGTCGTTGGTTGATTTCGATTTCGAACTTTTGGCATACTTTCGTTAGTCGGTGGAGTTGTTGTTGTTATTAAAGATGTTAAAGAAGATGCTGCTGCAACTGCTGCCTTAATGCCTGTATCCTGTCGCCATTGGTGGTGGTGCTGTTGTTGCTCCTGTTGTAGCTCCAAGCTGGCTAAAGCTCCAGTTGCTCCCCCTGTTGACTTTCTTCTGTTGCACTTTCCAGCATTTGACGCTGGCGAACTTGGTTTATTAGAGCAAACAGCGAAACCAACTATTGCTGAAGCTGTAGCTGGCGGCGACGTCGTCTCTGGCGGTAGTGGTGACCGCGTCGAACGATCCGTGCGTCTACTACGCACCGATTTTAGTTTGCAGGCTGTAGCTGCAGTTGCAACTTCTGCTACTACTGTTGTCCTCGTCCAGGAGGAGGTGGCACTGGAGCCCTGCTGCTGTTGCTTGGGCGATTTGCACGTCCTACTGACTCTTGTCCTTGTCGCCACAAGAGCCATTTTTGTTGCCTTTTGCTTTACTCTATTATCTTAATGCTGTATGAGCTCCCTGTTGCCGCCAATTTTGCTGCCGTTGCTGAGTTTATTGTTGCAATTGCTCCTGTTATTGTTGCATTCACTGCGTCGTTACCTATAGTCGTCTGCCGCACTATTGTGCCAGTTGCCCCAGTTGTTCTTGATGATGAGAAAATCGTTGGTGCGCCTGCTGGCAACATGCCGATGTGTCTGTCTGCAAGGATAACTGGACGTTTATTTGATGTCGTTTCAAAGAAATTCAGTTACACAGCAAAACGATGGAGACGATTCCAAGATGGACACGGACTAGCCGGATGACACGTACGTCAAGGAGAATTGGGAATGTTACACCATTCAACACGTGCGACTATTTCGTACTTTTTTGCTACTTTTTGGGGCTCTCACTAGGATCTAAGTCGGGCCGCTGCTGCTGCCAAATGCCTTGGCGGCGCATTGACCGACTAGTCGTGGACAATTCTCTAGACTAGCTATGCAACCCCCGATGTTGTCGTTAGAGTTTCCCTGTAGACGAGCAGCGCAGGCGCTCTAGAGTCGAGTCGCTCTTGCGCTTCTGCCTTCAAAGTATGCAATTCCTAAGGATATGTACATTGTGCGTTTTACATGCACCAACATAAATGCAAATACACACGCACTCACACACTCACTAATACATATCATTACTGCTGCATCTATACCTGTGACTGCTCAAGCCTAAAGAAAGTCTTGGCTTGTGCACTGGTTAAGGATTAAGGGCAGACTGTTGCAACCACTGGCTTCCCTATGATTAAAAGAAATTTGCTCCTTCATTTTCCCTATAGGCAGCTGGCTGTATGGCCCACTCCTCTATATGTAAATCACAATATGCACCAATCCGGATTAACGGAGCGGACAATGATAATGCGTTCAAGCTATTTGGGCGAACACGGGAAAAGGGGACACCGATAGCAACCGGTGCCGTTCTGGAATCTGAAGAGTTTCTCTTCCCCAAGCACTAACAACACCAAAAAAGGCAATCGTAAGCCACAAATTACATATTTTTTACTGTAACATGCAAAAATATGGGAGCAGGAACCAATTTCAACTTAATACACCTTCTGGTTCCAGTCGAGGACAGGATTTAAAAATTATACACAATATTCACATTTGTGGCGTCGAAAATTTTTCTTCTAGTGTTCGTCTTTTTTATATGTGGGACTTTTTATGGCTTGTTTTGGACAAGGAGCTGGACCAGGACGAATAAATATTGTTGGTTGGCACTTAAATGAGAGCGCACTCGCTCGCTCGCTAGCTCGCTCTCTCTCCCTTCTTGCTCCATCACGTACAAGCGCACTCATATACATAAATACAGCTCGACGATTTTCTGTATACATAGACTCATATACACACACATACACACACATGGCACAATTAGCGAAAAAAAAATGTTTTTTAACAATAAATGATGAACCAAGTTGAGTTAACTGAGTTGAAAATTATGTAGGAAAATGCTAGATGGACCAGCACGATAACTATATTTTAGAATTCGGTGGGTTTTGGGGCATTAAAAAACTGATGTCGCCTTTGTTCAGCTGCGGCCGCAGCAGCAGCGACAGCAGCAGCAGCGCCAGACTTAACACATATAACACGCTCACAGGCTTACACTTTTGGTTTTCAATTACATTTCAATTAATATCAATCACATATTTTCCAAATTGGGTTTTTTGCACATTTATTAGAGCATAGCTATTGTTATTAACTTTTTTCTGCTAGTAAAAAAAAAAAACCAACACGGAGCGCGTCACTGACAGTGTTGCCGTATTAACGCAGCAGACAAATACTGAATGTTATATACAGTATTTTAATATCAAACACACCATTCGGGAAAAATAAGGGACACATTGTCTTCATACGTTTTACTACACTTCCATTTCACATATGTGCTCTCAACACTCAAAGGTATTAAAAATAGTTTCCAAAGCTATTGGTTTGTGCATTCGCTAAGCTCTAATTTTGTAAGCACCTTTAAGTTCAGGAAGCTTTTTTCTGATTCCTGCATCTGCGCAGTCCTCTGATAGGTGGGTGCACCATGATTTGAATTGTCGAGGTTGTTTAATTACATAATTGCTTTATGTAAATATATGTGAAAATATATAAGGAAGTCTACACATAAGCATATAAGTATTTGCACTAATTTCGTAAAATATCGTATTCTCATACTGCAGATGCTTCAGAATATCCGTTCATATGCACATATACAATTTTCGGGCCCCCTAAAAAAATACGTCGCTATTCTGTTATTTTCCCACCCCCGTTTGAAAAACGGGGCGTCGATTAAAGTTCATTATGACAACTTTGCTGAGGTGTAGAGTATGAGAATCGAGGAGGAAGGCGTTCGGTTTTTTTTCAACTAGCCATTTAATTAATTAAATTATCACTACGGCTTAAAACAAACATGTTATGTATGGGAATCGAGCTATAATCTGACACTTATAAGACCTCACAAAACTAATTCTGCATTATTTTCCAAATTATTAAAAAACTTATTATTGGGGGATCCCTTTAATTGTGACAAATGTTTAAGTATTCACTGTGGCCGGTATGGAATTATAACACACGACTAATAAAATGAGCATTCAATTTCATGAGGTTATCAAAAGAATCTTTCAAAGACATATTTTCATGCCAAGTCGTTCCGCTAAGAAGGATATACATACATACGTATAGCACAAGCTCGAAAAGAAAGTTCTATACGATAATAATTTTTTTACAATAACAGTACACTTCACAAATCTTTCTGAAACCTTGAAGAAAGGGGTTCACGAAAAAGACTTCTAATCGAATCGGCGAGAAATATAACTAATGCCAAAATTGTAGGCGAGAGAAAGAGAGAGCCAAAGCATCAATGAATCTTATACAGTGAAAACTCTTATGGCCGGACACTCACGGTCGGCCAATTTTTGTACGCCCAAGGGGAGTGTCCGCTTAAATACTTTATACACCGATCGAAGTTTTTAGAAAAAGTGTCCGCCGAAGAGAGTGACCGGACAAAAGAGGTGTCCGTTGAGGGAGTTTTCACTGTGTACGTGTTTTTAATTTTTGCTCCAGCAGAGTCTTATCGCTGTAGTTGTTCTAATTCAGAGAAATGAAATCTCTAACTAGCCTTAGAATTGCTCTAAAATGTAAAGTAATTATTGGGAGTTCTGGACAATATTGGGGGTCGACCCTGGTTTCATTTGAATGCAATTCCCAAAGCCCAATAACAAATCGTCTTGCTGTGTGGTTAGCTGCTGTTGTTGCTTTTGGGAGGCTCGGCTTGCGAGCTCAGCTCAGTTAAAGCCCTACTCGTACTACGAATTTGATTTCGGCAACCCATTCGGATTCAGCTCTCGCCCATTTGAGTTCGGCTCGGTTTGGAGCTCAGGCCTGAGTCTCTCGCACTCGATCAGTGTTGTTTGGCAGCGACGGACGTGTTTTGGCTTCCATCTACGCTTGCGTCTGGATCTAAGTCTTGGTCTTGGTCTGAGTCGTGTCTCGTCTCGTCTCGTCTCGTCTCGTCGCGTTGCGTTGCGCCGCGTTTTGAATCCGATCGCTAATCTGTGTGCTCGCACTATCGTTAATCCGCTCGTGTCGTTTGAACGCGCCTTGTGGGCTCTTGTTGTTGTTGTGTTATTGTTATTGTGGTTGTTTACCAAATTAGTCTGATATCATATACCCTGAAATACAAATTTAAATAAGTCGCCCTGCCATGCGACAAGGTGAGACAAGAAAATTGTGATTGCTATTTTGTTTCGTTCTTTTTTTTCAAGTATACCAATATGTTTTTTTTTTTTTATGGTGCCATTTATTGTACACACACATACATACAAGTAGTTAGTGAAACAATCTTTACATATCAATGGGGGTGCGGCAGGCATTGATTATGCGCCCGAATGTGCAGAAAAATCCACACACACACACACACACACACATAGAGAGAGAGAGACTTACTACTTAGGAGTACAAGTCAAGATAAAATTGCCTTCGTTCGCCTTCAAAATGTCATTTATTGGTAATCGCAAGAATCTGCTCTTTTGTTATTGCTATCTTGAAAACCCTACATACATACATACATACATACATACATATGTATGTACATACATGTATCCTCTACCCTGTGTGTATGTGTGTGTGTGGGCGCCCATTGTGGAGTCGCGTTTTCATGGTGGCCGCCAAGCTAATTCCTCCCGTAATTGCATGTCAGTTATTCGCTTATATATGGAGTAAACACAATTGAATGCTTTTTATGGCTATCAGTAAGTGACTTAAAATAGATGTCTATCTACACACATACATATATACGTTTAATACTGCCGTACGACAATCGCACAAGTGGAGGAAGTCGAAGAGTTTTCGTTGTCGTTGTCGCGACGTGGGAACAAGAAAATATGCTGGCTGGCATATGTACGAGTATTTAGAAATTCCTGATCTATGTGCTAAGGATGCTAATCCTATGCCTGAATCGCTCAATAAATACAAGTAGAGTGAAAATTCCTAAGGAATCATTGTAGATTATCATGAAATCGGAGCTTCTAGTCTTTCTCTTGTTTCCGAAGCCTACCCTAAAGTTTTAGGTTTGATTCCTCACGCAAACAAGAGCTACAAGTTACCTAAAAGAATTGCCAACAAATTATATTAACGGCCTTAGGTTTAGCATTAGCCATTAGTTTTTAGGCGCCTCATGTCCTCCACTTAAGCAAAAATAACCTTTAGGTATTGGCTTGATTAACATTTTCAAACTAATTGCTTCTTTATTATATGGATTTGATGTTGGATTCTCGCCATTTTAATCTCAGTTTTTGTTTGTTTATTTATTGTAGTGCCTAGGGTCTTAAGCTCAGGCTTGCAGCGCACTAATTATAATCTGATTTAGTCTAATTCGCTGGATTATTATCTATTTTTTTTTTTTTTTTAAATATATCAACCATATTGATTTCATTGCAGTGTCTGGGAAAGATTCAATACTCAATCATTTTCATTCTATACTTATAATTCGTAATTTTAAGACAGCAAGACAAACAGAGAGCCCATTTGGGAATTACAGAAGCATTTGTAGGAGTGCGACAGAAAACTTTTTTTATTTAAGAATCACATCCAAAAACTATATTATGGCCCATAAAGTCCGCCTCCACCATAAATTCGAAAAATATTACGAGCACATGCAAACAGTTTCTAGTTTAATTGAAGATATTGAATACAACCATCTTAAGTATAAGAATTCCAAAAATAAATTCCTCTTGCGTAGCTCCAATAAAATGAAGGAAAATGTAGTTGGTGAACTTTTTGGAGGGAGTGAGTAAAAAATGGACATGCGCAGTCAATCTGTGGCCGGCTATCATCATTCAATAAATTCCACAAATCAGCGATTTACGATTTGGAGTTCTTAGTGCATGCCCAGAGATATTAAAGGGGGCTCGACTTCGAAGCAACTTTTTACAGTGTCTGCTGATTATAATTAACTGTCCATAAAATATTGGAATAAGGCAAAAATAGGTTGCAGTTCATTTGGTATCATCCTTAGATTGATAAAATTTCTTGCGAGTGTATATTAATGTATTCCGTGTGCGAAAAGGCTAGAAATAAAGCAATACTAAACGACCCCAAATGAGAGTTATGAAATATTTAGTATATAGCTTCTGGATGGTGATCTTGAATACTTATAGTGACATGCTTGCCTTACTCGAATATTAACTTTTCTGGAATTAAACAATTCAATTTATCATCAAGAGATAATTTATTGCTTATCGAGATGTGAATTCCTTTAATGAATAAATATATCAATATATTCTCCTATTTTCTAGGTTTTAAAAATATAGAAAACAAGTCAGTCGTTCCTTTACAAGAATCAGTTCAATTGAAATTATTTTGGTGGAAACAGCTCACACTATTTGGATATTCTTGTATAGCAGTTGTGGGGAATTACTGCGAATATTATCAACCAATTCACAAAAAAGCAGACCTCCAGTAAACTTGACTAATGAAATGAAAGGAAAAATTTGCGAAATTTGAAATTCTTCGGCTGGAGTGCCCTCCACCGCTGCTTAGCTGCTTAGCTGGTTAGCGCGAAATGGGTCTGGGGGCAAGGTTCGCTGCCTCCGTTCGATCCATTCGCTCCAATCGATGTTGGGCGCCATAAAGGTATCATATCATCGTCTCAAATGTCAAAGAGTTCTATAGCAACTGTTTATACATACTTATCGAGTATTGGCAAGCGAGCCAGTCTGTTAACCTCTGGAGCCAGTCGAATTTCTGTTTAGTGTTTGTGTTTTTGCTGAGCTCGCCTTTGAAGTTGAGCCGTTGCCCCAGTGTTAAGTTTTTCGTAGTTGGATTGGCGCATTGACTCAATAGAATGCAATCCTCATAAAAGTATACATACATATGTGTATAAGTATAAACATATACATGTGTATAATAAGATATTTATTCGTGTGTGCTTACAAACTGTTTGCGGAATTGCAGTGTCAGTTTGCAAGTTGGATTTATTCTTGAACGTTCAGTTCTTGACTTGAATGCTCTTTTCGCTTTCAGCTGGACGGACAGCATTGGCATTGGTGAGTGCAGCACGTGCCATGACGCTGTAGGAACGGAGGGGAGTGCCGGAATTGTGGGATCTTATCTAATAGCTGTGCAGCGGGCTTGGCAAGCACTTGAGAACATGGATGCGGACGAAAGCCACAGTGAGGCTCAGAGAAGGCGATCCACTCCAGTGGATGCAAATGGCGAGACCAATGAACGCGAACAGCCTCTACAGATCACCTCCATCGATGGCTTCTTCAATCGCAAGCGTGGGCGACCGCCAAAGAACCGTTTCGTCGAGGTCTACAAAAGTGTGAGTAATCATTTGAAATGGGACTTGACTCCTCACTCAACGCTGCTAACAATGTTTAGACTACTGTTAGTATGGGAATTACGCGGTGACCCACTCTGAGACTGCTTGAATGTTGCAAATGGGAAAGTAGAGAGTAGTTTTCATCAGCTTTTAATATTTAAATGCATATTTTATGATCTGTTTATTCATATTAATTCATTATTTTGATGAGGACCCTCGGGCACCTTTTGGGGAATATTTACGTTCGCAACATAAATATAAATATATATTAATATATTTCATATTCAAAACATGAAACGCATTTATTTATAATGTTCAAAAATAAGCATAAATTAACTATTTTCTAATCAAGGCTTTTCACAATTAAGCATACTTAGTCTTGCTTTCAGAAGTTTATTTATTATTTTAAAATTTGTTCAATACATTTTTAATATCATTAATTCCTAATCGTATGCTTCCTAAATATATTTGGCTTATTGATTTTCACTTATTAATTTTAATTTAATGTTCAAGTGTTTTAATGGTTTTCATTTAGTGTAATGATTTTTGAGTTCTTAAATTTATTTTCATCTATTTTTTTCAAAACGTATTTTTAAATATTTGTATGCAAAAAAAAATTGATTTTCATTTGTTTTTAATATTTGCTAATAATTTCATGAATTTATAAAATTATTTTTTTTTTTGTATTTATTTTATTTGTTTATTTATATTATTTTGTGTGTTTTTAAGAATAATTAAAAATGTTTGACCATAAAACGAGAAAACCTTAAGTCCAGCTGGTTTTTTGTCCGTCAAATTTTGTTTGCTCGACTGCCAGATAAAATGCCTTAATCAAATAAATAAAAATTATATGCATGTATATATGAGATAAAACAATTAAAATAGGATGTGGCGTTTCGGAAATATCTGACTTGTTCATAAAAGGTGCATAGAAAGCGTTAAAGGCCGGCAAAATTTTTTAAACTACATATTTCAATTTTGGATGCTTACGATTCTTATCATTTGCTGAAAAACAAATCCTCGAATTTGCTTATAAGGAAGATTATATATGTGTGTACATATATATGCCTTATTGATACTTCCCACCCCTGCCCCCGTCCCTGCTTCTCCACTTCTCCACTTCTCCACATTCCCACTCGCATTCCCCTAAACCCATTGACAGGTGCAGGTCTGCAGTTCCATTCGAATTGACCGCGTTTCTTCAAATTTTAATTCACACACACACACAAATACACAACAACTCTCTTACACACACACACATACATACTTACACACATATCAACACACATGTATTGTACAATGTTTAATTGTTATTTGGAATTTGTGCGCCTATTTGTGCGCAGTGCTGCGTCGGCTTTCAGCCCCGCCTTCGCCCCCCTCCTCCGACCCTGCCCCCACCTTAGCCCCTCATCTACGTCTCCGTCTCCGCTCGGAGCCTAATGTGGCATTTTTATGTGCTGTGTATTGAGTTGAGTCTTCGGATTTGGTTTTTGCCATATTCGTCATATTAATATTGACAACGAGTGTTTCCGCATTTATTTCACTTGTGCCCGTCCGTCCATTCGTCCATCCGTCCGTTCGTCTGTCTGTCTATTCGTCAGTGGCAGTGGCAGTGGCGGTAACGACAACAACGGCAGCAACGACCACCTTTCATCTGTCCGCCCGTCCCCCTCCCTCAATCTTGCCCTGCCCTCCCACCAGCCAGCCAGCCAGCCAGCCAGCCAGCCGAGGGAACTGCGTACGTTTTGTGCTTTTAACTGTCATTTTCATAATTTCTACATTTTTAGCCGAGTTTGTCGCCTCATGCACACGCACAGTACTTTACGTTTGCGTTTGCGTTTACGTTTAGGTTTGGGTTTACGATTACTCTGCCCACGCGTCAGTCTCTCTGCTATCGACATCGACATCGACGCCATCGACGGTGGGGGGCGATGGAGGGGGGCTGTTCATGGACTGACAATACGTACATGGCTGGGCCGGTGAGCTGCGCTATAGAGATGGTGGCGATGGAGGTGGTGGCGATGGAGGTGGTGGTGGTGGTGTTGTTGGTGGTGTGGGCACTGGAGTGTCTGTGTGAATCGAAAAATTTAAATAAATATTTTTCCATTGCCATTTGTGCCATTCTTTTTGGAAATAAACTGAATTCGAGCTCTGAGGCACGGGCCGAACCCGCAACCTGTGCAGGCCCATTCAGTTATATTGGCCATTGAAATGCTCTACGTTTGTTCTTTTCTACAAAAAAATAAAAATAAAAATAGTAATAATAGCAGGAGGAAATGCGGCTCTTGTTGCTTTTATTGGAAATCATTTAAAGGGCATTGTTATAAGCAGAAAAAATATATACACCTAATTCTGTTTTTACACGGAAGTTTGGTTCCAGAAAAAGTCGTGTAGAGAAAGACATTGATAATACGCAAAAATAGGTGATTGGTTCCTTATCTCAAAACCTTTTAAAATCATAGAAAAAGCACGGATTTATATTTATTTTATTAAGTCACATATAAGAATGGTTTCTAGCTGTTTGCCAGCGCTGTGTGTTTTTATTTATTTATTTAATTTTCAAATCGTGTATAAAAAGACCGTGTAAAAACAGAATTACGTGCATTTCTTTAAATTCAAAGCTCACTTAATTAAATATTTATTCTCCAAGAGACCAATGGGATTCAGAATTATCTGAATATTTAGCGAAATATTTAGAAAATAGAAACAAACAGGTAGCTAGAAAATTCGATAAGACTGCAGAAGGATGGAAAAACAAGTTCCTCCATTCAATTATAGCTAGACTCGAGACCACTAACATTCAAGATCTTTTTAATTATTATAATGAACTCTAGAACTCTAGGAAAAAGTAGCCTTTCAACTATTTTCGAAGCAAATATAATCAAAGGTTTAATTATAGTGAAACATATAATATCTATGCAAATATCAAATGAAATTCTTCATTCAATTATAGCTAGACTTAAGAGCACTAACATTGAAGTTCTTTTTTATTATTATTATGGATTATATATCCAGATACCAAAAATATATGAGAACTTAACTATCTTTGAAGCAAATATAATCAAATCATTGTATCGTTATTTGAAATATGGTTTAAGGGCATTTGAATGCAAATACCAAATTAGATTAACCAGAGAGGCCAGACTATCGAGCTTAATATTGTAAAATTAGCGTTAAGATGTATATAAAATATAATATCTAATATATGCCACCAAAATTTGTCTCAAACATGGCACATATATCATAACTGAAACAAATGCTATTCTCATCAAATATCGAAGTATTTATTGGGACTTTTAAAGACAAATATAGGTGACTATTAAATGTGTAGCCTTCTCTATATTTACTTTTAATCTAACGTATAGGGCTGAAATAATGTATTTTAACAGACCTTAAGAACCTTTTCTGGAACAGACTTTTTATGCTGAAAACAAAGACCGTTTTCGTCCTCAAAACGATTTGTCTTGCTTATGACTGTTAAAAACCCTTCTCCAAAATTTAGGGCACAATCATCTTCAAGAAAGAAATTGTTTCTTCATTAAGGGGCCGGCTATTTTTCATGTCGATTTTCTAAATGTTGTTACTCGATTCATGCATTTTTTTGTTTGTCCATATAGGTATGGCTGATAGTTAAAAGCTTTAGCGCACGTATCTGGCCCGATCTAATGTACTTCTAAGTACGAGTTTGAATGCTTTTGTATATAAATATGTATGTATAGTATGTACGAGTATATGTGTGTGTGTGTGTGTGTGTGTGTGTGTGTGTGTGTGCTTGCATGTGTATGGACAGGGAGGGTATTGAAGCGCTGGCATTGTCTATATATGCACTGTGGACGTTTTTCAGAGGTTTCTCTTTTCGCTTTTGTTGTGTATTTTGCTTATTATTTTATTTATTTTTTATTATTGATTTGATGCGTGAACAAAATTTAAATAGTGACATTTTGGGCCAACAATAAACATTAACAGTAATTTCGGAAATAATAAACTGGGTGCGAGCGCGAGTGTTTGTCATAAATCCGAAACTATGACAATTAACAACGGCAACAACAACATGGACAACAACATCAACAACTACAGTAACAACCAAAATATGGGCTGAAGGGAAACATTGCAACGCGTTTGGGCAGCTTAGTGGAAAGGCGGGTGGCAAGCTTGTGTTTCTTGTGGCATTATAATGAGCATGGGAGAGGCGAGCATAATTGTAGTTGGGGTTTCTGGGAAACCGCTTGATGACTCAAAATCTCTCTCTCTCTCTCTCTCTGTTTCCCTATCTCCCTCTCTCCACAGACCCAACAGTCTCCCCAAGCCATATTTACAAGCTTTAAATTGGAAAAGAATGAGTCCGCAGCAATCGCCGCTGCTGCTGCTGCCCCCCTTTCCCATAATGCTGGTGTTGTGACCACAATGGAGAGAAGCAGCCTCTTGGGCACCTCTCATGAGCTCCCACATAGCCGCCGGCTTAGTCGAAAGCGTGGCCCTACAATAGACCAGACAACAGTGAGCGCCGCAGGACGACAACATCAGCGATCCCAGAGGCAACCAACATTGGGCGTTTTGCCTTCATCGCCAGCTGCGGGTGCCGGTTGTGAGCGAAAAAGACGTCCAATGGATTTGTTGTCTGAACAAGACTCGGCACTTCAAGTGAGTAGTCGTAGTTGGGTTAAGCGACTGGAAGTTACTTCTTAAAAGAGAGCGCTGATCCATTCCATTGCATGTGGTAGAATTTGTGACTTACTCCTTTACTTACGGACATCAATTCATATAGTGGAAAGTGCAGGACTTAGTAATTCTAGTCGCTGCCCTCTATGCAAGCATGTTTTAAAGTCAGATTTATTCAAATGCAGCATTCTACGGAGACATTGGTAATGGTACCTGAAGACTCCGAAGCGGTAGCTCCCGCAATGATGCACGCGTCCAGCGAGGTGTACGAAAGAGTATCTGGTGTGTATACACATTTTTTTTTTTTTCAAAAACTGCAACTTGCGTTATTTCTCTCTCTCTCTCTCTCGTTCTGCCTATGCGTGTTTAGTTGTCCGTGCTGCAGGCACTTTCTATCCGGAAAACCTGAGTCCAGCAGCCGAAAGTGTTGCCTCCAGTCCCGAACAGCCTGAGGACTTGAGCATGAAGAACATAGTGCCATCGAAAAGGGAATCTGTCGCAGATACCCAAGCAATTCCAACAACAACCTCTGGGCTCTGCAGTGAGCCCGCGGAGAACCTAAAGCTGCTGCAGTTCAAACACCTATTGAATCTTTATCAGCGTCAAGTTCTCCTGCCTGGCTTCCTACGCACACTGCTGCCTCTGCCGATGCCCCCCATCGCGGCAGACAGTTCAGTCCCCCTCGACATGCGCCTGCTCCTCGAGAGCGCTGTCCAACAGAAACAACTGCTCCTCAATGTGGCCGCAGTGGCTGCCACAGCCACCGCTGCTGCGTCATCTGCCGCCTCACCTTCGGTGGCAGCCACGTCTCAGGAACAACCTCCGCCGATCATAGTTGCACCCCTGGGCGATACGCCCCCCCGGAAACAACTGCGAGGCAATGACATACCCACGGGCTACCTCAAGTTTCGCTTCAACGAGGACTGCCACTTCGAGCGCTGCGGCTATCGCAACCATCAGTCGCACTTCCATTGTAATCGCAAGGACTGCCACTACAGCTTCTGCGACAGGACGCGCTTCATGCAGCACACGGCCCGCCACGAGCGCCTGGACACCCTCATGGGCTCCGACTTCCTTCAGTTTCGCGCCAATATGCAGTGCGGTGTGCCCAACTGTTGCTTCGCCATGCCGATGGACAATGTCCACGGACTGGGTAAGTGGGATGAAAAAAAACCAAAATTGAAAATCAAAAATATCTGAAAAGTCCCCATTAAAACAACGAAGTTATGCGACAGAATCCATATTTTATTTAATGTTTTTGAAACGATCTTATTTCTTATTTATTTCTTATAAAAAATGCGACTATAAGCTATTGTGGAGTTCATGAAATGTTTCCGTTTTATTTGCTAGTGGTCAAGAATATTCTATATCTTCAAAGCATAATGTTTCATGATTTCTTTGACATCTGAACAAGGAATTAAAATTTCTATATTACTAAAATGTTAAACTGTTCGATTCAGCTGATTTATTAGTTTAAGGCCATACATGTGCTTAGCTTAAACAAGACTCTTATTAATCTATAATTTGTGTGTAATTGGTTTGGTTTGGATTCTCAATCCTGTAGGAACTATATGGTCAATCAGGCAAATAGTTTGCACACAGACTTGCCGAATATCAAAATAAATATATATGATTGTATACAAATTTGATTGCTGATTGAAAGAGTAATAAATTCAGGGATTCTTATTTGTAAATTGTCATTAATTCCTATACAGTCGTATACAGTCTTATAGAATCTAAAGATAACCAGATTCGGTATTCTGAACCTCTCATCTCAAACTACTAGCTCTCTGTATAAAATTGAATTGTTTAATCAATCAATTAATTAATTAAAGCAACACCAGATTGGAGACAAAACTATTTGTGCATACAACTAATTCGTGAGCAAATTATTTGCCTATCTGACCATAATTTAAAAAAACAACTATCATTATGATTTCATGAATGTATAGAAACCGGGTAGAGAGAGAGGAATTTTGAGGAACTTGGAGCGATGTATTTTTTGTGTGACAATAATGCTATTTTTTGTTCAATGTACATCGTCTGTTAAAGACTCCAACTAGTTAGAAATGCAGAAATGCTGAAGAAGGGTAGAGAGGGAGGCTAAGAAGCAGCGACTGATTTACTTTAGTATATTACACAAATAAAGATAAATGGGAGAAACTTGCGACTGTGGTGTTTAGTTGCAGACGCTAATTTACTTACGATTCGCTTGTCGTCTTGCAGATGCCGGCACAGCCGCAGCCGGGACGCAGCCTCCGAAGAAGTCCTCACACTTCCATTGCCGTAAATGTGATTATGTGTGCTGTGACAGCAGCAAGGTCGTGGCGCACCGTCGACTTCACAGTCGGATGGAGTATTTACGGTCGGCGGGTTTTCGGAAAATCGCCCGCTACGAGAACTGTGAGAACCAGGCTTGTTCCTATGCACTGAGGCATACGCATTATCATTGTTTATCCTGCGACTGCAGCGTCCTGTCTCGCGCTCAACTCGCCTCGCATAAGCACCGGAGTGGTGGGGTCAGTAATCCGGCAAGTGGCAGTGCCCTGGTCAGTGCTGTGGATGGTCTGCCCAAGCAGCTTACTCTAGGGTCTGGACTGGATCTGGATGCTTAGCAGACACTTGATTGTCAGCCAAAGGCTATGAAACAAACGAAGAGAAATGACTGTAGAGCGATGTGAAGGGATGTGGTTGTGGTTGTGGATGTGGATGTGGATGTGCATGTGAAAGGTTGGGGCAACGAGGGGCTGTAACGGGGCGGGTAGAAAGAATAAAATAATTTTCATAAAACTATATTTATCGCAAACTACATACCTACACTTACACCTACACCTATGTACATACATACATACATAAGGATGTATACGTGTATATGTAATTATTCCTGCTGTTCTCCTGCTTGCTTCGCATCTTTCGCAGAATTACTTTTTCTTGGCCTGTTTGTGTTGCTGTTGCTGTTACTGTTGTTGTTGTTGTTGTTGTTATTATTGTCGCTCTTGCGCGCACACAGCACCTCCCAAGCCACCCACTCAGCTCTAAAAGCTCTGGCCAGCCTGCTCCTTTTTTTTTGGGTCTTTGATGAGGAGGCGGATGCGGACGAGGCCGAACACAATCCAACGAGTGGTCGTTATCTTCGTTCGGACTCCAAGTCGACGTCGACGACGATGTCGGTGTAGGACTCGTAGGAATTCGTTTCGAGCTCGGACTCGGCTTTGAACTCGGACTCGGACGCGGACACGGACACGGACACGGCATAGAATTGTTTCTGTTTTTTCGCCCTGTTGATGATTTTAGCAGCGACTTTGGCGGGGGTTGGTTGTGGGCGCTCTTTCCGCTCTTTCTGTTGCTGTTGCTATTTTTGTTGTTGTTGTTGTTGTTGTTGCTAATGTGGTGGTGAGTACGCCTGGTAGGAAACAAGATGGTTGGCCGAACGACGGACACACACAATCACACTCAAATACACACACACACACAGAGAGATGGAAAAGAATGAAAATGAATCGTCGTCGTCCACCCCCTGCGAGAGTTCGGCAATTTGAAAGAAACGAAAAAGCAAAAAAGAAGAAGGAAAAAACAACAGCAGCAACAGCGGCAACAACAAAAATTAGACAATTGCCGAATGGTTGGCCATCCACCCGCTGTGCGGCCCTTCCCCTGCCCCTGTCCCTTTCCCTGCCCCCGCCCCCGCCACCAACAAGCCAAGCAACACAAAATGGTGTAGAGAAAAATCTATAAAAATGGCAGAAAAATGAAGCGGCAAAGTTTGTCAAAAGCTGTTGAAGCGGGCTATAATTTTTGTTGTATATATGTACATACTTGTATACATTTTCGTATATACATAGGCATATACATATGTATATACAATTTTTGGCAAACAGGATGACAGGATGATGGGATGGTGGGATGATGGGATGATAGGGAGGCACACAGCCCAGGTCCTCCTTGTAGGCTATGCTGACTGGGACTTTGACGGCCCCTCTCAGCAGCTGCTTTGTTGTCAATCACTTGACCTTGCCTTCGACGATGGCAATGATGAAGATGCCGAGGATTATGATGATGCTGTTAATGATATACCTACATATATACATACTACATACTCGTACATACATATGTGTGCATGTGTGCTCTCCCACATGTGTGTTGAGTATGGCAGACGGAAGGAAGGAAGCAAGGAAGGAAGGAAGGAAGGAGCAGGACTGAGAGCAGCTGATTTTTGGCCAACAAACTAACTTCAATTTAAACAGAACTGTTGGTCACAACTGGAAGCTTAAATCGTTACTTCAAGCTGGGAAGTACAGAATATTAAACGAGATTGAGGAGATTACACTGCTTACCATGCATTTGCTTTGCACACACATCTACTTGTACATACAGGTACGTGTGTGTCGAGAAACTTGTTGAGTGTATTAGCAATCCGATTTGAAAATCAATAAACTCAATATCCATGTTATGCTGAAAAGTCTTGTATCTATGTAAATAAGGCGATTTGTGGTTTTTATTGCTCACAGGCTCTTTATTGCCGACAGTATTTTTATTGAATTAAGCCTCCATAACTCTAACCTCATTTTCGTTCATTTAAATTAAAGTTAAGAAAAAATTATTAAATTTTAGTGGGTGAATAAAAATTAAAAAAGATAAATCATTGTGAAAATGCATAGATAATCTTTAGAAAATGATATCTGTAAAGACCCCGCTTTCTCATAGTTACTATAAGTGAATGATTTTTTCGTTTAAAAATAACAAAATAATCATTATTTGCAGTCCCTGAATTAAACACTTCTCTTAGGTAACGCGAAACAAAAACTACCGAAAACGACCAAACAAAGATTAAAGTCTGGCTCTCAATCAAATGTATAGTAAATATAAGCACAGAAAGTAAACACATACATAATACACATAAGGGATATGCAAAGAATTACATAGATAAGCAATCATAAAGGAATATAGTAAAGGTACGATTAAGTACAGTAATGTTCTCTCAACTTAAAAAAACGAGTCTGTACTCAATTTTAAGTGGAAAGTTTACAATTAATTGGAGCACTTGCATCACCCTAAGTTATTTAATTCTGTCTTGAGAATCGGCGGGGAGCCAAAATATTTCAAAAAGTATGGATCTATCAGGTATCTACTTGTATGTATAAGCTAATGCTGTTTTGTTAACGCTCTACGTTAAGTTCCTTCGATGTCGAAATCGATATTGTGGTAAGCAGTTTAGAGTTGCAAACACTAGACAACTAATAGTTATTTCGTACATATATTTGAAAGCTCCATTTAATGCCCAATATGCCTTATAAGACTCCTCACATATTTTAAATACTTATATACATATGTATATTGATATGGAAATTGATTACAACATCGCTATATAGAAACAAAATATTACTAAGACTGATTTCTGCTCAGATTGTTCCCATGGCAACGAACCTTGGCTATATATAGTACTATATGGGCTGCGATAAGCTTCGTTTCGATGTGGAATACAAACCATTCACTGTTGATAGCTAGGACACGGATATATTGCTAAATGCTATTTAGAATGTGTTCTAAACTGGCTTACTTGCGTTTAATATCAACTTTTATCCTTTTTGCGCCCCACTATCAAGGGTCTTGCCCTACTAAGGCAGCGACAAGACAGGCAGACAATCTGCACACAAACTTGACTTACTATACAAGCAGCAACAATTATTCTAATTAGGAAGCCTGCCTTTTCTAAAAATCCTTGATATACTTTTTGTTCAGTTACATTTGTGTGCTGATTATCTGCCTGCTTGTCTGACCGTTGCTTATGTCTTTGTCTGCTGAACAAAATCATAAATAAGCGTATCTCTCAATATAATATCTGTATATGATATCTGTATATAATATCTGTATTATCTCCAAGTAGGGGGGGAGTGATAGCTCAGCTAAACTCCTAATAGTAGTTCTATATATGTAAGTTTGTCTGTCAATCAGAAAGCTGAATTACTCCTCGTCGTGTTCATTTCAGAAACCCGTACCACGCTGTTATTGAAATGGTATTCTAGTTCTATAAGTTCCAGAGAGCATCAATTGGCTTGTTCTGCAATTGCTCTGAAAACTTGGAAGTAGGAAAAGACATAAAAACACTTGTCATCGCGTTCAATCCATTTCATCTTGAGCGAGAGAGCGAGCTCGTTGCGGCAAAAGATAAAGAAACCGGCAGCCAAGACAACAATTGCGTATACGAGTATACGAGACTATATACTTGTATACCTATACGGAGTAGACATCCAAGTGCTTGGCGTGTGTTGTGGTGCCGTGTGGGTGTAGACTCTGGCTTCTTTCACGGCCGCACCGATTGATTCATTTGTGTATAGTATGTAAATGGAGGAGTCACTTCTCGGCACTAAACTCGATTCCGCCAACGCATTTCACACTTTTGCACAAACACCGGTTTTCTTAATTTCGATTTTTATTGCCGCATTAGTCAATTATTTTATACACATGTGTGTGGCATCGTTAAACATTTATGTCTGTCTGCACTGTCGCGTGTCCTGGAGGACATGTCAACTGTTTGGCTTCGGCGTCAAAGCCGAAATGAGCTTACCAAGCCGAATGCGAATGCGAGTGCGAGTGCCAGTTTCGCATACGCACGCATGTGTGGAAAAGCTGCGCACATACACGCATGAGTATTACAGTAAGAGTATGTGTGTGTGTGTGTGTGTGTGTGTGTTAGATGCCGAGCAAGGAGCGAGACTGACTCTGAGACAGACTATGGATGGTGAATATGCAGATGAGGATGCGGCTGTTGATAACAACAGCAGCGGCAAGGACGACGAAGTAAACACACATGTGTTGCGCTCTATCGAAGGCTGGCCGATACACCAAACGACCAACGGACTGACAGACCGGCCGGCAACACTTTTGGGGAGTACTCGTATATATAGATATATATACATATGGTGTACGTATGCGAGCATGTATGTGCCGTGTACTTATAATCGTAAACAATGGCAAATGGCCAAGGCATATGCGAAAGGGTTCTCTAATGCATGAGTGCATGAGCGTTCAGTCGACACCCTTGGGGTGCCATTAGCCTAGGCCCAACTAATCCACACACACACACACACACACACGAACACACACATGTACACACGACGGGCTATTATTTAACATCAGTTGATGGGCGGCTGAGTCTGAGAAAAACTGACCCGACCGGTTTGACCAGAATGCGCTCGACAGTGGACCGGCCGTGGACCGGGTGTGGACCGACCGGCTCTGGACCGGGTGTGGACCGGCCCTGATTGCTGAAGGTCGATACTATCCACACTATGAGTATGCAAATTCATTTCTTGATTGCCCTGCAACTGACCTAACTCTCAATGTGTAATGTTGTATGCCCGGCCAACCCCAACCCCAACCTCGAAACCCTTTCCTTTCCTTTTCGTCCGTTAGTGTCCGTTCATTGTAGCGGCCGCTGACATGTCCTGTTGCCGAAATGCAACAACAAACATTTAATTTGAATACTCGCCATACGGCTTTTGCGACTCATGTGTCGTTGCTCTGCAGCTTCTGCTGTCCTTGCCAGAGGATGTGAAGTGCCTGTCTGTGTATGTGTCGCGACCGTTCGCCCAACAGGGAGGGGATGCGTGAGAAAACCAGTTTTCCAGCTTTCCGCTTTCAGATCTACCTTTGGCCGTTAACCGTTAGACGTTAGACGTTAGCCGCTAGCCCAGTGGGCTGCCAGTGTCCGGCGCCCAGCTGTCGTCTCACATCGAAGTCTAAAGGACCACGTATGCAGAAAAGCGCGCACTCGGGTCTCAGCTTCCCCTAGGCCCAGTTCTAGACACTAACACTACAACGCCGATCGTCGCGGCGACAGCCCGAAGAAGATTTGCACCACCAGCGGTCGAAAGGGGTTAGGGCTCATCTTTCAGCTCGCCGTGCACTCATTAGCATACAACAACAACAACAACAACGACAGAGGGGACAGACAGACAGGCATCGTCTTAGAATTCAGTTACTCTTGCCTGCGCAGGCTCAAGGACGGTGAAGTCAGCTCAGGGCTGGTCATTCTTCAATAATTCGTGTCAATATCAGCAAAATGAAGATAAA